AACCGAGGGATAAACCACTATCGTATTACAGAAGACTATTCACTTACATGCAAGATAGTACGCGATTTCTGTTGTAGCATGCTTCTGTTTACTTTACACCAAACTTATTTATACAGAATTTTTAACAAGAATTCACTGGTGTCTGTAATAAGAGTGTAAGTATTTCTACGCATGTGATATTCCAAACTAATAGTCTGACCGTACTAGTAAAAATAGCCACTAGGCAGAAAAAAGTGCAAAGCAAATAAACACTTAAGTAAATTTTGTTCTCGATTCTGATAGCTATTTTACAAATCATGTGTTGCATTTTTTCGCTTTCTTATTTTACCCACTTTAGCTTAACCTTGAGTTCAACATGATTGAATTGAATAGCCAATTTACTTGCACAGTTGTGCCCGAGCGTCAATTGCTGGCCTGTTACTCAGATGATCGAAGGTCACATAGGTGTTGAGGAGACTTCAAATCAAAAGTTAGTTTTTGAATATTTGGGCATGATTTGACTGTTGTTGAGTTCGGCAATGCAGCACTGTAGTCGGTTTGGTGCTTATTTCACTCTTGTATACCTCGCTCATGAGTAGTTCAGAGCATATTTTATTGATCGGGTTGTGTGTAGACGAGTGAAGAATTCACGAGGTGCATGGAGACTGAGATCTGGGATCACGAACTTTTCTAGCATCATCCTAGTCACTCGTGACAATCGTTACGGGCTCGTAGATTCGTTGTCACGTTTTTTATATTTTATTAATTATATGATAGTCTTCTTATGGTCGGAGTATGCAGCCACTATTGCAAAAAAATCGACTCATGACACAGTCTAATCAGTGTGCTTGTGTTAAATAATAGCTACCGGCAATTTTGTGGACTAGGAAATATTTTGTGACTTTTATTTCCCATCCATTTACTTGCATTTGTGCTTCATGTTTTATCTTCTGCATCGGTAACAAAGACAATAGGTTTCGGTCGAGGCGCTTTCTTATACTGCCTCTTATTTGATGTTTAGAGGCCACGAGACTGACACCTCCTCGTCTTCGTCATCCAATGCTGAAGTGCGCAGACCTCCCCTAACCCATGTTCCGAGTGTCCAATCGGATTATTGTAAGACTGCCTCCTTCACACCTCTTAGCACAAAAATTGACAGGTTTCGAGGATGCTCGTCTACGTGAAACAGTCAATGCGCAAAAACTTTTGGATCTACCAGTAAATGTAAATAACCCTCTTTGAGAAAAATCTTACTGCTGTTCAGAACAAACAGAGCCTCATAGCTAAAGGCATCCTAACTAAAATATGCCGTCGTCGACCGAAACAACGCACGTTTTTTCTTTTTAATGACGCTCTTGTCTATGCAAACATTTCTTATGGAAAACTTGTAAGTTCTTCCACGCTTTTTCTGAAATCGTCCCTTTTCAGCTGGCTCATCCACATGCATTGCGGCTGGAGGAAGTTACAGTGTCTGATGTCGATGATAGTGGAAGTTAGTTTGATACGACGCTATCTTAACTCTACTCCCCTCATTTTTGTCAGTTTATAGACATGGGTTCATAATCGAATCACCAAAAAAGTCTTTTACTGTCTACGCCTCTATTGCCGAGGAGAAACGTAGATGGGTGCTGGTCATTACCCAGAGTGCTGAAGCTGCTCGACAGGCTGCTGGTTTTGGTGAGTTCCTGCTGGGGTGTTTTTCAGACCCTAACTACTGTTGTGAAAGCACAATATGGAAGAACCGGGCGACTAGATTTATCTGCAGTTAGGAGTCAGTGAGTGTATGTGCATTCGTCTGTTAGTGATTAGATAATTTCTTGACTGCATTTTTAGGACTCACAACTGATTTTGAGAGCTCAGCAACAAATGTATTTTACTGTTAATTTATGACACTACTGTGTCGTTTCGGCTGTTGCGCTCAATCTACCTAAACTTAATATACTCTAATTACTATTTTCTTTGACGTTGATGAGTCGACCTATTGGAGTACTTTGTGTGATTGTTGCAGCATCAATTGCATTGTGATTGCTATACATTAAAAAGCCGTTAAAAGTCCTCACTGCACACTCACTATGTGGCAGCACAATCTTATTATTTACTTTTATGCTGCGTACCGCACGCAATCTCGTTAGTCAGGCAAATTGATGCCACAGACCCACTTCCTGTCATGTCACCGAAGATCGCAGCATTAACTGCGACGCAGAAATAATCAGTTGTGGCACACTTGTTGCAATCGTGTTTCTTCTCGCCCACGCAACTACTATTGTTGATTTTTTTCTGCCTCACTGTCAGATACTCAACGAAAACTATCACTCCTACAAAAATCGCCTGTGTGGATTCCCAACTCAGTGGCAACGCACTGCATGGTCTGTCTAACCACCGAATTCACCATGGTTCAGCGTCGCGTGAGTACTTTTAACTGATGCTACAAATGGATTTTTTTTTCCGAACTTCGTTACTCAGTCACAAACATGTGATTTAATAGGGCGGCAGGAAATGTTATGCTTCCTCTATGAACTATGGTACTTGATTCCACACTTTTAATAAGTACTGACTGGGCGAACGATGCATTTGGGCCATCGACGTCAAGCAGTACGCATGAAAACTCTTATGGGTGCGAGTGAATTTGATTGAAGTTCGCCCTCTAAAAGTAATTTGCCCAAAAGTAGTTAGTCTGAAGATGTAGCAACGACAGTCGAATAAGCACGTTAGCTTTTGACATACCTCAATAGGTTATTCGCATTCGTCGTCAGTTGGCTATTTGGAAGTGGAACTGAAATTTCATCTAGGTTTTTCTCCTTAAGGAAATAACAATGTTTTATGCTCACGAAACGCGACTACGAGTGCACTGCCGCCCTAAGATATGATATAAACAGTCGCAATAGTATTTTCACACCAAAATGCGTAAATTTGGGAAGTTGAGGACAATATTTAGTGGTATTAATCTGCCGCATACTTTTTTCTGTTCCTTTCCACTTACCATTTGGACTGTCTAAGCTCAGTGGCAGCCTGTCATTGCATTGAGGCCAATGTTTTGGTTACCAAGACGTGCAAGGTGTAGAATTCATATGCCTTGGAATTGCGTATATATCCTCGGGTCTGTCTACCTGCATTTAAAAAGAGGCATGTGATCCTACTTCATTTCTAATTAATCACAAAGAAGTTGGCAAGCTTGCAGCCACATAAAGATGCGATGGTGGAAAGTTGTTGCTCAAATTGCTTTGTTTTAGAAAAGTCTTTTCAAGACGGAAAATCCCTCGAGGAAGCGTTGGCTCTACCATCGTAAACATGCTGAAGGAATAGAATTGTTCGAATATAGCAGATATGTTGATGAAAAAGTTGTCAATAATATGACTGTAGATGAGGAGGTTAGGCGAAAGGTGGCATCGTGGTGACCGAAAATTATTCCTGTTGCTAACTGGACCGACTGGGATGTTAACTCTATTGCCTGAGTTTCCACGTCATTCTATTCCAACCTCTACCATCACATTTAGAGTCGGCTGAGAAAGTTACATCATTAAGTAATTTTAGCCTAATTCTGCCGAAATCAGCCATGTATTCTGTTGAATCGAAATTCAAACCTGTCAGAAGTTAAAAACATTGCAGATTAGCCCCTGGATTTTGATAGTTTCAGTTATATTCGAATTCACAGTATATGAGTTTATAGAGAACTTTACAAAGGCAAATGATAGTAATTGTCCTCATTTTGAGTTACTACAAACTACCTCTAACCGCATCCAGGAAATGAGCTCCGCCTCCAATACTTCTTTGGATGGCTGGTTGCGGCCTTTTTTAGCCCAATGAGCCGTTTGTATTTTTTTACTCCATCGTTGCCTGTGCTTTCTCGTACGTAGTTCTCTTGTGTGGATTTGGCGGACTTGGCCGGACAAACGAATAAGAACAAGGAGATCATTGCTTAAGATCTGGTACTTGGACAAGAGAAAGTAGTCTTCTTTTTTTTGAACAGACTAAGAACATTTCACCATTTGCTACCAACCTTTATTTTTAAGCAGATCTCCATTAATGATAATTTAGTGATACTTCTGAAGGACTATTTAAAACCACACATCTGAGAGTGTTTAAGAAGAAATAAGATTTCGCTTCACTCATCGCACTCTCCAGAGAAATAACCAAATGATTTCCTTTTTTCAACCTTTGGAACCACTTTGGGTAGAAGCGTAGATAGCTTAGTCAAAGCCTTCATGACCACATTAAGAGGCTACTGGATTTGACTTAGCATTCCGTACAATCACCTATTTTGGAGAAGAGCATCTGTTTCGGTGAAGGCATCCATTTAGTATGCATACTCTTCTCATTTACAGAAGAGCAGATGTGTTGTTCGAAACTGCGCTACTCTTGAATCACCTTTCAAGGCGAAAAGTCACGTGGTAATAGTCAGTAGATATTTCCGCTCTGACTCAAACGATGTTGTGGGCACTATGTAACGACCATTCCTCTCCCATATCACATGAACCGACAATCCAGCGGGCTTCAATGTTGCAGTGTGACTTTTCCTCGCCTACCTTATCTGTTTTTTGGCCTCTATTGCTCTCTTTGCACATTGAATCTTTTCTGCTTTGAACCTTGAAGTAACCGCTTTTTCCTCAATGGCATTTTTTGATTCGAAATTTAGAAGAATTTGTTCAAGTGGCATTTATCAGTCGCCCTAGAGCAGTATGAAAGGCCTGTTTTTTATATGAAGTAGTCCTATCTCATTAAGTCTGCATACTGGCAGTGGCGGGCTTTCCTGATGAGTCGGATGTGATACTGGGTTGTTTCAGCATCACTGTCGCAATTGCGGGAAGGTGGTGTGCGGTAAGTGCTCGCAATATCGATGGGTGTTGCCGGCACAGGGACCAAGTAAACTGCGTATCTGCCGCGCCTGTCATGAACTTCTTCGCGCCCAGCAGGAGGGCAAGAAGGCTGCTGATATCTCCACTCCCACCACCACTCCTGATGTGCAACCGCGGCATGTCCCTGTTTTTGCGCCTCCAAGTGAGTTCTCTCTATTCGTTTGATGGTTTGATTGTCAATCAGTGAAATTGATGTTGTTATGTTTGGCCTGATTTTTACTAAAGTTTTAAATTCAAATGAGATGTTTTTCCCCATGTCACATGGGCAATATGGTTGAACCGCACCTTAATACTGATTTGTCTTCAATGCCCGGTAGTGAAAAGAAGACTTTGGAGGTGAGTAGCTCCGCGATTCCAAAGTCCTGCTTGTTTGCTGCTTGCTGGATTTTTGCAGCTTCTAGGATGTGCCCTTATGCAATGTAGTTGGTTTGTGTAGTCCGCCGAATATCCTGATTGGGTAACAAGGGATTTTCAAATTCCATTTCCTGCACGCAGGGATTGATGTAGCTATGATCTGGTGCATTCAACCACAACTTTTTTAGCCTCCTTGTGTATGAGATTCCTTGAAATGCCCTCACTGCTTATAAGGCCATTTGATTGTTAAGTATAAAATGTTCTTATCTGGATCAAAGGTTTTCTGTACTATATTTACACCTTAGCAGCTGCGGGGCAATCGGTTTGGTGCGTATGAGTGGATATCGAATGGTTCTCTATTTGAAGCATTTGTCTGTACTTCTTGTAGCGTTGTTTTTCCAGCTGATACGTTGTCATTTGCTGCCTTACAAAGGCATTCGCGTGCCTCCGTCAGTAGGATAAGACTCATTTATTTAGTCATATGATTGCCTTGTCGTCGTTCCCTCCAACTGATCGTGGTAGACACCCACTATGATTGATTGGTTAGGTCATGTTGTAAAGCTGTGGCACTGATGCTTGAGTGCTAAACGGAACTTGCTGTGCTGTGAGTTTTTAGCTTCGGCCATTTGCGTTCCTCATCTTTTGGTACTCAAAGTTGTTGAATGTATTTTTCACTGCAGTAGCATTATTGAAGTCGGTTTTATTTCGTCGTAGCAAAGAAAGGCGGACTAACGTCAGGGCACATCCTTTTCAGCTTCTTTTTTTGAATCTTTCAATTTCTTAACTGAATGGACCAGAATTGACGAGCAGTCGTTTTTAATCTTGTCACCCATTCAGGCGCTAAATACATTTGTTTAAATGCAGGAATTAGCAGGATAGGTGAGTGAATAGATGGATGGGTGGATGGATGAACGCCGGACTGTCGTTCTGAATCCACATTCATGTTTTTATCCGTTGGACTAACTGAAAGCTACATAAGCTAGGTTCTTATCCACTTTTCGTAGATCATTTGGAAGCGTGGAACTTGTACGCTCAGTTTAGAAATTAATTAAACGATTCGACTGATTTTGGTGATGAATCATTCAAAGATGAATACATCACATTCCGTATGATCCTCCATTCTTGATGCCCAATAATTACGTGACTTTATTGACACGCCAAAGCAATTTCAGGTCATCGTGTCAAGGAACAGTACAGAATATGAGGAAAACAGTAGGGAGCACAGTAGACAGAGGGCACTATTACTGCTAGAATGACGTACATCAGTCTACCTATCTTTCTATTCACCCATCCATCCAAGCTCCTACACGTTCCAATAAATGATTCCAGTGAGCTATATTAAAAACCGTAGGAAGTTTCTGTCTCTGACAGAAACCGTCTCCTTCATTGCTGATGTGCTGGCGACGAATGCTCTCCAAGCGAGAACTGAAGAAGTTATTAAACTTACCTAAGTAACTATTCCCAACTCAACATTAAGTTTCTGTTTTCATCCAATTATAACTGATTGCATTCCCTTTATTCCATTCCCCTTTTCCCGTTATGATAGACCGATCCAGGCTTCCTTTGAAACGGCAGTTTACTACACCCCTGAAGTGGTATTTGATGTACTTACTGTGGGGTTATTGAATTTCACCTACCGTGATAAACGAATTTCATGGAATTGGAAGTGCATGAAGCACAGGAGACTTGATCACAACCTTTTCAACCGACATGGACACCTTAGGGAGTCTCTTCATCTGCTTGACTGTCATGTTGGTCATAATGAAACAGTGTTCTCAACTTTTATTTGGATTTTCCTCAGACTGGCAACAACAAATCGAGGAGACATTAAACGAGAAGGGAGAGGATTTGGACAACGATGAGAGCAGCGAGTTTGACGGTCATGTACTCGACGGCCATTTTCCGAGGCGAGTCATTCTCTTTCACCCATCTCCTAACTTATATCTCCGACTATCGTGTTCATCGGCCACGTGTGTGCACCGAAATTACAAGATGGTTGTTTGTTTTATGGCACTTCAATTTCATTCCACTTTTATCGCCTTATATTTTTGCCTGTTTTTTGACTAGCTTTGTCATTTATAGAGAATAAGTTTGCTACAGGACCGAGCTCTGATACCGTAGGTTACTCCTGCCATTCAAACGTCAGTAAAATGAATCGGCCCTATTGACATACTCGCGGTTTGGTTCAAAGTACATCCGTCTACTCAGTCAATGCGCACTCGTATTTGCGTTTACGCCCCCCTTTCTGGCGGGTCTACATTTGAATGGGTGAAAAAGGTAACAGTTTGGGACGATGGCTTTCAAGATCGAAAGGGCTAGCTTTCGCTGGTATCTTCATCTGGGCTTGTATGCTTTCTGATAATTTGGATTTTGTTTAGGCATTAATTAACTATGTGTCTTCTAGCGGATGACCAAAAAGGTTAGTGCGGTTTTCGCTGTAGCTAGCTGCAGGGTTGGATGGACAACTGGATGAGAAATAGAGGTCGGCCTTTTCCCGACTTTTAGAGTCGAACTCTTCTTTTATGAAAGTGGTATTGACAAGCTTGTGTCTCGTTCGTAAAGGATTTTAGATTATAATTATGGTTCTTTCAGTGAATAAAACATCTTAAAAATATTTCTGCAATTAATTAAATTTTTTGAAGAAAATGGGCAAACTGATCTTGCTCCATTGTAGTTTTGATATGCTTCAAGTGTGACCAAAGTCCCCCTGTTCATAAATCTCCATGCCTCAATCACTGATAATTTGCCCGCAGTTATTCAAAGACGCTTCCTCTTTTTTAGTAATATTTGAGCCCGTGGTATGTGCCGCTGACGCCTTCGAGTTGAATTTGCAAAGGAAATTCTTCCATACCTTCCCTCCCTCCTTGCTCCTTCTTCATTAATCTTTTCTTTTTTTCTATGGTTTTTTTTACCCTTTTCCATATTTTCTGGTCTTGCGCTTGGTTCATTATGCTTAATATGAATTGACAATTTGACCCTCAACGATTTGGAACCCCTGTATAAATAAACTTGACAAGATGATTTTTACAGCCCTTTAACATTACTAAGATATTCAGCCTAAGTTCTTAGGTTGGGCAATTTTGTTTATTTTGCCGTGAATACTGTTGACTTCACGCCATTGTCAGATGTCGATGGAGCTCACATTGCATGCAGTTGGCTTTCATCGAGTGAGGCTGTTAACATTTTTGAACACAAAATCAAATGCTTTTTCTGTGGGGAAGCACTACTTGCCTACAGGAGAAGTAGGTAAATGCGGAATTCGTGAGGGCAAACTTTCACAGACGGTCTGGAATCGGAAGTGATAAAACCAATCACCGTCAAGAATTTGGTCGTAATGGCAGCGGGGACTGGCGGAGCCCTATACTTGGCGGCTTAGACTGCTTGAGTGATTCCTTGTGCGACTTGGGTGTTACCCTAATTCGCCGTTTTCTTGCACGGTAGATTTGAGTGACTAGTGCAGCAAGACATGAAAGCATTGTCCATTTCTTGAATTGGGCCACGGGTTTTATACGCCTTGCAACACCTGGGATCCCTCGATTGACCTGTTTTGTGCTCTACAAAAGCTGCCGGTCAAATGGGAAAATCCATCGAACTTGAGCAGGCCATTTCAGTATGAGGACGTGAAAACAATCAAATGGGATAGCACATATTCGATGATGATTTCCTCCCTTGAAGAACCAGAGCTCTCTCCTTTGCGACTTCCATCCGGAACTGCTTTCAAGGAACATGATTGTCGTATGAACGGTTATTATAGTGACATTATCTGTAAAAATGGAATAAATGGCATTCAAAGTTCTTTTACAATATAAGATTTTGTCCATGAAAAATGAAGCGAAATTGGAGCATGATCGCTCGAAATTGGGAAAGAAAGTTTAGGCACTAACTGACAGGAAGTCGGCACCTTCCCACGAAGCCACATTAGATGTTCTTAACGGCTGGTAGGTTTCGCGCAGTTTTTGTTCTAAAGTACTCGAGAATGACTTACTAAGCTATTACTGCAATGTCCCGAGTTTCTGCTGAATTTGCGAAGAGCTAGAGTGGATCATCTGTCAATTACGCACAATAGGGTTGAGAGGATATCGTCATGGCTGGGAAGCTATGCTACAGCGCGGGAGCACAACCTGCTGAGACTTAAGTGCCCACGCAGTTAGCAAAATACCAGTTTACTACTGTAATACTTGTTTGTTTATACATAACATTGAGGCGGCAAGCAGTCAGCCAGCATTGACCGTGTAGCTGAGCTCACTCCGCCGGTCCCTAGGGCAAAAACTATCTCGAACCTCCTCCTTAAGAAAATGGGATAAATTGTGAACCCTCTTTTGTACTACCTGAACACAAAATGTCTTCACCTACTGGATCTTCTGCATCAAATTGTTTGAAGCTTGAAGTAGAAGAGACTCTGAACCTATTACAGTCAAAGTAACAATTGAATGACAGATATACTACCCTGAAAAGTTCAGATTCGCGTTCATGTATACGTAAACTCTTTCCTTTCTATTGGATCTCTAACGCTTCAAATACTTCCTGAATCTATAACAAGCCATACTTGCATGGGAGATGCTAGGGTTGTCTGCAACGTCGGGTGACCGTTCTTGTTCCAGCTTTAAGAAGTTTCTGGTTTTGTGATTAATTTTGCGAATTCCCTAAATACAGTTCTTCGTTCATTCTTTTCTGATCGACTGAGATCTCGGTAGCTCTACTGAGAGCGTGCTGATAGACTCTCCGAACCCAAAGTCAGTCAGTTGCTAAAATGAAAACCTGACTAAGCCAGTCGGGTGGCGCCGTCTGTTTTCGGCACTTTTCCCTAGCCAGCCGTCAGGTTTGTACACACATGTGTAGCGTCCCGAGACTCCCTGAAGACGAAAGAAGACACAATACTCGGGCAGAATATAAATTCAGCACAGAGAAGGTGTCTGGGCCATTGGCATGGCCCGAAAGGCCAGCCCACCCAGCGAGGTGCAAGGGGGCTAATATAAAGTACAAAAGTGGCGCCTCATCAGAACCGAGGGATAAATCACTATCGTATTACACACGTACCCCCAACCTCACCCACACATGTCGGTCAATAGACACATGCTCTGAAGCCTATCTCTTGGTTCTCTGACTTGTGGTCTCGGTGGAATCCAGACCACTCACGAACACAAAACCTCCAGGTGATAGCAAATGGCGACTCAGGATGGACCACAAGGTTTGTTATTCATGCATAGATGGCCGGAATGTAAGGCGACCTAGGAGTCGACCAAGTTACAGCGAACGCGAATCCATCATCTCTGCACCCACACTTATTTATTAGCGTTTCTGTGCAACCTAGTTTAACTCTGCAAATGGCTGTTTTTAGAATTCTCTGTTTGAGCTTTTTTACCCATTATAATTTTGTGCAAACTTAGGCATTTATTATTGTGTCACTGTTGCAAAAAGCATCGGCTAGTCGAAGAAAAACAAATGCAGGGCATATTTACAAATCATAAGCTTAGTTAAACTATAGGAAATTTCTGCAATCTTCTCCTATTCCCAACATTGGACTTGGTTTTAGGCCACTAGCTTTTATTTTGATTGGTTGATCAAATCACCTTATATAACTGGATTCTTAAACCCACATATGCATTTTCACGATGAAGTGAGGTCACGCTTTATTCATGTATGTACCTTTTAGAATCAATGTTGACGGTCTGCTGGTATATTTTCCCTACGAATACATATACCCGGAGCAGTATCACTACATGCTTGAGTTGAAGGCAACTCTCGATGCCAAAGTAGACCTATAAATTTACCTAAATTACTCCTGTTTTGAGGGTCATGGAGTGCTAGAAATGCCTTCAGGAACTGGGAAAACGGTTTCAATTCTGTCGCTCATGGTTGCATACATGAAGGCCCACCCTGGGACTGTGGAGAAATTTGTGTACTGTTCGCGTACCGTGCCTGAGCTTGAAAAAGTCATGGAGGAAATGCAAGTTCTTGATAAGTACTACGCCAAAGAAACCGGAGCCTCAGGTTGTGGACTCCTAGCAGTCGCACTCAGTGCTCGCAAGAACCTCTGCATTGAACCCTCAGTAAGACGGTCAGGTGACGGTGCCACCGTTGATGCTGCATGTCGCAAACTCACTGCTAGTTTCGTACGCCGTCGACGTCAAGAAGACTCGTCAGTTCCTGGTTGTTCATTTTTTGAAGACTTTGATTTAAATGGCCGGGAAGAAGTCCTTCCTACTGGTGTTTATAATCTGGTAGGTGACAGTATCACTTAAACTGCTTCAGAGTGATTTACGCAGCTATGGGAAGAAAAGGAACTACTGCCCTTATTTTTTGACTCGCCATGCTGTAAGCTTCCATACTAACAAGCTGATTCCCTTTAGCTACTTCATGCAAACATTGTCGTTTACAGCTATTACTACATGCTTGATCCAAAAGTTGCAACTTATGTTTCAAATGATTTTCCAAAAAACACAGTTGTAGTCTTTGACGAGGCTCATAACATAGGTGGGTATTCTCTACCCTTTACTTAACCAAATATCCCAATAGATAATGTGTGCATTGAGTCAATGAGCTGTGTCATTTCTCGACGGGCCCTGGATCGCTGTAATCAGGGTATTGAGAAGTTGGCATCTCGTGTGGCAGAAGTGAAGAGGAACGACGCAGCAAGGCTTCAGCAGGAATACAACCGTCTAGTGCAGGGTCTTCGAGAAGCCAATGCGGCACGGGAGACCGATACAGTGTTGGCAAACCCAAGTAGGTTTCCTTCCGTTGCTCTAGCTTTCTTAGCTCTGCCGGATGAAATTATCACCGGGGCAGTTCCCGGATCTCTTCGAAGCGCCGACAGTTTTATCAGCTTTCTTCGCAGACTGTTGGAATATGTGAAATTGCGTCTTCGTGTCGCGCATGTGGTACACGAGACACCGGTTGCGTTCCTCAAGGACTGTCTCGAAAAGGTTTGCATCGATAGACGTCCACTCAGGTGAGTCCACTTTGATGCAAATGAACAGTCAATGAGTGATCCTGTGTTGATTTTAGCTGGTAGTTTTTAACCTGTAATTTTATTAAGGTCCTGTGCTGAACGCTTGCAGTCTATGCTCGACACGCTAGAGTTTGCTGATCTTGGACCTTTCTCAGGATTAATGCTCCTTTGCAACTTTGGCACACTGGTCTCTACCTATACTAAAGGTTTGTTTTGTAAAATGTCTTTTTGTTAGTCTTTTACACTTACCAATTGTTGTAGTTGAAACACTTTTTTTATTCGTACTGATAATCTAATTGAAAGTTTGCTTTTACTGGAAAACTGTTGAAGTTGTTGATTGTGGTGCCATTACTTCTCTTCATTCACTAGTAAACAAATGTTTAATTAGTAAATAGCTTGTTTTATTGAGATTCGCATTTCTGGAATTAATTCTAATTGGGGAGTTCATCAATCCCGGCATGTATATCTAGTTCCGTTTTTTGGAATGTTAGACGTTTAGGCATTACTTTTGTGTTTATTTTGTATCAGAGGACGTCCGTAAGGTAGCGTTCAGTTTGTAATGTTAGTGATACTAGGAGTTACATTATTTTATATTGAGAACTTAATGACATTCAGGCCTTGGGTTTAAAAGCTACTTCCTCGTCAACGTAGCTATGATTTCGCGTACTGCGTTCACCAGTACAAAATTTGCTTAAGTCCGATGCGGTTCATGTTACCAAGAGTTCATATTCTTCTGCGCTGGTTTATTTACTTCCGAAGTCCATTTCGATGCTTCACCATTCTGTCCATTATTGCTGCCAAAATCCCGCTGCTTCTTAATATCCCATGAACTACAATCTTATCTGATTTTAATTATTTTTATTCAACACTTGCCAAAGGCTGCTAAAATGAATATTGCTCCATCTCATTATTGATGTATTGCTTTTAATTACTAGCTTTTTTTGCAATTCATAGGTTTTTGCGTGATCATTGAGCCTTTTGATGAACGTGCTCCCACGGTGGTTAATCCTATTCTCTACTTCCACTGTATGGACGCCAGCTTCGCCATACATCCTATCTTTGAGCGGTATACTAGTGTCATCCTCACTTCTGGGGTAGGTAATTTGTCCTCAAATTTTGCACGGTCCTTTTGTGTGATTTATACAGACTCTTTCACCGCTGGACATGTATCCGCGGATATTGAACTTCCATCCAGTCAACTCTGCCTCCCTCACCATGACTCTGGCTCGTAATTGCATCTGCCCAATGGTAAGCCATCCCTCTCTTACCCCACTTTTTCCCGGCTTTGTATTTATTTCACGGGAATATCTTAGTTTCCTCACCTACTCTCTGAGAATAAGTTTCCTGTTATGTCATCGCAGAAGCGATAGGGGATACCATAAAAATTTACACATATAATACCCTTTTATACTTTTGTTTAGCCAGTACGGGCTGTTAATACAATTGCTTTATTTACAAATGATGCAATGGCTTCCTCAATTCGCATTTCCCGTTTTTTTGGCTGTGTTGTGTTTAGTCGGAATGTGATTACGATTACCATAAAACCGGAGTATTTATGGTTCCAAATGCATGGGGTCCTGTAAAGTGGTTTTTGCTGAATCCGTTTACATTTAAGTCTTCCATGTTGCGCACGGAGTTTTCATTCGATTATATGGAAAATACGCTCATTTTTCCCCTTTTCATTCAAGAGTTTTGTGTCTTAACTCCACTGATTAAATGTGTCATTTGTGTTACTTAAAATGACTTCTGCTTATAGGTACGTAGGTTGAATAAGTAGCCGTTTTATTTGTAAGGTTTTAGCCTTCCTTTTAAGTATTTTAGAGGTAATATGGCTTCAAAATATCCACGCTTAACTAATGTAAAATCTCGGAGCGTTCATGTCTTCCTGCTTACAATTCACGTTGAGTCGAATAATATCACAAAATATGGTTTCTAGCTAATCTTACAAACTTTTATTAACATGCCTTAAAGCATGTTCTGTAGACGGAGCGGAGCCTATGTGGGAGCATGGGAGAGTGAAAGCGGGTTAGTTGCAAGAGAGGTGACTATAATTTTGACGGCTAGAACCATGTCCTCCATGCTTTTTGACCGTAATTACAAGCACGCACTCTCTCTCTGGCTAGCAGTGGTACCTTTTGTGCGCATAATTTTTTTCAATTCTTTATAGATTGTTTGGTTTTGTTGAAAATATGGCGAAAGTCCACTCGTCGTAACGTAATGTGTACTCAATTAGGATGACAAAATTTGCTTTCTATGTTCTCCCTTCAGCTAGCTTAAAAAAATAACCATCTTTCGTCTTAACAATGATGTCAACTCTGAAGCGGCTTTTAATTGCACCATCTGTTTAATCAGCAACACTTCTCCAAAGCTCACTGGAGTTGCTCATTTTCGGCAAGGCGACCACGATCTTGTCACTTTGCTTTTCAATCCGATTCGTGTCTTTAGTGGATCATTCAATCTTGGTTGGTAATTTGGGAGCAACTGGTATTCGATTTATCTATTGAGGGTCCATAGGGTTAAAACCTTGCTTATTTATCTTGACTTCAATCAAGCTTGGTGTCATCCCCACTGTCTTGTCTTGATTCTGATTGCCAGTCTAATTGATAATTTAGCATGGCCTGCCATGCGGTGGCTACTGTCACTGCCTGAATGTTACTGTGGTGATTGTCTCTTCATTGATGAATTGTTGCTTATGTCCGTTTATTCTGCTAAATATACAAGAAAAAAGTTATTGATAGACTTCGAGGCAAAGGTAAATAAAGTCCACCGCGGTTTCTGTGCTACGCAGTTCGATCTACTGCTCTTCCTCCTTCAAATATTAAAGCTGCCAATTCTATAAAGAGGAAAACTGTTCTATATGCCTGCTCGTATCTGCCAAATATTTGTCTTTCAACTTTATTCAGTGTTATTCTCGAATTATTATACAACTTATTCTAACAAGGGATCTCTTTTGTAGAACCATATCAGCTGTTTTTCTCTTTACGCAACTTTTAGATAGTCTCCAGAGGTAGTGATCAGGTTGCTATGACGACTAAATTTGAAAGTCGCGAGGATTTAGGTGAGTTCCCCTCCTACTCACCCTCTTAGTTGGGCCCTTTTGCAATAACACGGACTTGGTTCAAAGGTCCCATTTTCTGCTCTCTTTACATAGCTGTGACTCGCAACTATGGTCACTTATTGGTGGAAATGTCAAGCATAGTTCCTGATGGCATTGTGGCATTCTTTCCCAGTTACCACTATCTTGTAAGTCCATTTTCCATATTGAAAACTGTTACTTTGGCAATTTCAGTAGTGTGTTTATTTTTCAATTTTTCGACATTGTGTTTTCGTTCCCGATACTACGACCTCTACTTAAAATAACATGATACATTTTGGTAAAATTTCTAAGATGCTTTTAGGACTTCATTCCTCTCCCTTCCATTGTTTTGGATCTTTTTTGGTAAAATTATTTTATTCCGTTTTGTTCTTTCCAAAGGCTTCACTAAAGTACATAATCAAAGGTTGACGATTATTTGCCATGAAGCACATATATTATGTTGCAGTAAATGCCTAAACATCAATTACTCAACATTGCTTATTTATTCATGACCTCTTATCTAGGAATAAGAACATTATGACAGTAGATTTTTAACAGCAAATGATCGCTTTTGTGTATTTCATAGCACATTCCTCTTGTGCATGAAGAATAACAAGTGGCAAATCTTTTTGCTCATTTTATTCTCTTATAGGAGTCAACATTTGCAACATGGTACGAACAGGTAATGTTCCTAGTACATGACTTGCATGACGACGACGACGACAAAAGCGACCGATCTAGATTACTTATCTGTTTGGCATTTCAGAATTTAATTCAGAAAATCCAGCAGCACAAACTTCTCTTTGTTGAGACACCGGACAACGAGGAGACTAGCCTGGCTCTGGCTAACTACCAAAAGGTGCGCTAAAGAGTAAATTGACTATTTTTTGTGCAATTTCTACACTTTTTGCTTTAATCTGACTGTCAATTCCTGTTATTCGGGTGCTGACTTCGATCGGTGCCTGGTGATGCCAGATGCTGAAATTTCCTGCAACAGTAGTGGAAAATTGGCTTTTATGGCGTCAAATCTTTGATTATCATTGTCAGCCTTTGGTACATCAAAATCGCTTCATCGTCTTAGTGGTTCTAGAGTTTGTGGAGTGGGTAGTTAGGTGGCAAAGCTATTGCTGTTTTCGTCGTCTGCTCCGAAGCATCTATGTTTGTTGCAACTAAAGCACCAGTTTACTTTTGTCTTGTACAGTTTCCTGGTGGATCTAAATGTCGTTGTATTTTGTAAACGTAATACCTTCAGTATCGGCACATAGTATCAACTCAGACGCTTAACTGTCACGGCATGGGTTTACGCCTGGTGGATCACGTGCTTTTACAATGGATCTTATCAATTCCCAAATCGTATAACTTTTTCCGAGGTGTATCGTGCTCAGCCCCTCAATAAACTCACTTTGTTGTCTTCTATGCTTGTGTGATCTTCTCAGGCCTGCGAAAATGGTCGAGGTGCAATACTCCTCTCAGTGGCGCGTGGAAAGGTCTCCGAGGGAATTGATTTTGGTGAGAACCTCTTCCTCCTTTTACACTCTCCCTACAAGCACATCTTACTACCTCTATTTGTTTCAGATCACCACCTGGGCCGGTGCGTCATCATGTTTGGTGTCCCCTATGTCTACACTCAGAGCCGCATCTTCAAGGTCAGTCTTTTCCGTAGGCGACCTGCAGAAGTACCACTTGATCTTCTTTTGGACGTATATACATAGATATATATATTGGTGATAAATCTTAGGCTTTCTTTCAACTACATGATTTCAAAGATTGCGACGGGGGTATTGTTTCTGAGGCGAACACGATCTGGCTACCGAGTATCGCATCTGCTTCGATTTATTTTATTGGAGTGACCTCTTTTTGCATTATTCGGGAGTGCAGGGTCTTGCTCTACTCTCGATAAAGCCTTCATTGTGGTGATGTAGGCCCGCTTGGACTATCTGCGTGAGCAGTACAACATCCGTCCCAACGAATTCATCACCTTCGATGCGATGCGTCATGCTGCTCAGTGTCTGGGACGTGCTATTCGAGGCAAATCTGACTATGGCATCATGATTCTCGCAGACAAGGTTGGTGGCTTATGGGAATGTACAAAACGTGTTTTTTTTTTAAGATTACTTAGAAATGGGTTTGCCTTACTTTTTGGTTGTGGGGTTCCTGGTTTCTGGTATCAATTCTGTGCCACTTTACTCCTTTCGCTCAAATTACGGGGATGGATTCTTTTCGGTTTTTGATGCGATTATTGTGGCTGTGTTACTGTTAGCACTCACTTTGTGGCTGATAGTGAATGATCTTTGTCCCAGTTTTAACGAGTGCTTTGGTTTTTGTTTTTTTCGGCTATTACATACCTCTTCAGTCAGAAACGTTCATTTGGTATATTTTGATGTCAGCCGAACTTCATGCCCCGATCGAACGCCACCATGGGACCTCCAGCTTGTTTGTGTTTTTTTAGAGAAGAGTAAATAATTTGGTTCAATGAGAGTTTCCCTTGAGTAGTAGACAGATCACATTTTTTTGGCGATCACTACTTAGCAAAGCTTCCTGGAATTCCTGATAATCGCCATCCTGCACTTATTTACTTTGTATAAAGAACGTCATTAAAATAGTTGTTGGTGCAGCCAGCATAAATTTGATTCGCAATGTGAAGCTACCTTCTGACCTGCTTTCTTGTATTGTTGTTTAACATCAAGTATTATACAAATTAATGTGAGGTGCTTATTTTCACTCGTCCAATATTATCAGAGCCGGACAAGGGAAGTGTTTTTATGCTCGCATTAGATTTCACCGCCATGATACGCTGTTTTAACCTCATTTCATCACTTCACTCCTACGTGGCGTGATGCCGGTAACCCAACACAGCCTGATTGCCGACTTCTGTTTCGGCGTAATGTCCGGGCTGGCCTCATCAGAAGATAGCGCATTAATCATTGTGCTCATGGACCATTCATTTAAATCCAGTACCACAATTTCGCCAGTCTGCTGCCTGCGATTGGAGTCCGTGAAATTTTATTTTCTTAATTTTAAGCATTCCCTTAAATCCGTGAATTCAACCAGAATTGGCGCGGTCATTCATGCACCGGCTGATAAGAGCTTTTTCGCTTAGTAAGTTTTCTTAATCAGTCTTCTTATTAAAGGCAATGGCATACGGTTATTCATTGAAGACAGCCTTTCAGGTAATTGTAATGGTACCTTCATGTAACTGTTTACGTGCTCTGGGCTGATGAAGCATTGTGAGTCATTGCCAGAGCTCAATGTTCATCCACGAAACTCTTCGGCTGTAAAATGAACAGACGCCGGAAAGCGCCCTGGGATGCTGTGATCTCACAAAGGAATAGTTTTTGCCATTTTACAATTTATCGTGCATAAACTTGACCTTTGCCCTTTTTACTAAGATGTCGCTATTCTTTCGTAAAAGTGAGGATTTGAGGGTGTGAAATTTGAAACGAAACCTTTGTGTGGACTTCTGTTGTTCTGTGCTTGCATTTAACTCTACTATTAAGGAAGTCATCCTGGTCCCTTTTAAAGTTTGGTGCGTCATGTCAGCCAGCATATATCTCACGAAGTATGCAGCTTACATGAAAGACTCGCCATTGCTTAATCAAGCATCCCTAATTTTCTGGTGATTTATTCATTCATTCAAAGGGTGAGTGGTTTCATCTCAACACACACCACTTAATGTGGTGTTGTTGGAGTGCGAAGACCTCGACCGGAAATTCACAGCTCTGCGTGTCAAAATTTACTGTGGCCAATGCCCATCAAGGACCCCTAGCAAAAACACTAAATGGTTAGCTCTATCACAAGCCCTTCTTCGAGCCGTTCGATACATAACCGTATCTTTTTTGCTCTTTAAGAATTGCATGCTATTATATCCAGAATTCATCAACTTGCTAAAGTTGAGACTAAAGCACCCATCACACGCTTTCATCCGCCCATGATTATCCGTGGCACGAAGACTGGTGAACATTGAGGGGAATCGTATCAACTCCGGGGTTGTGATAAGACTGGAATTTAGGGCCTCGCTATTGGCTGAAAATGGGACGCTGTTGGCACCGCGATTGGTGTGACTTTGAATGCAACGTTTTCGCATTCATTGTGCGTGCACAATGCACATGCCATCCTCGTCCTCCCCCGCGGCCGCGTCTGGCATTATTCACCCGAAGTGGCTGCCCAAGTAGCTTCGCATAACCGCACAATCCAACTACTCAGGGACAGATTTCTCTTTATCATCTCTGATTATGCTCGACTATTACCTACAACACTGCTATAATTAATTATTTTCTTTGTATCATTATATGTTGTATATTTTGACATTCAAACAGCGTTTCACGACGAAATTCGAGTAGCTAAATTGCCTCTCTGGATTAGTTTTCTTCATTTTCCCAATTCAAGATGAAATCTGTTATCCAGCTGTCTTCTGCTGCAAAAATATGTGAGCGTTTGGCTATAGTTGACTTCGCTAATTTTATTCGATTGTGAAGCATATCCATTCGCACGTTTTTTCGGATTTTCGATGGGGCGACATCCAATTTTCACCATTTAAAATCAGGTTATCTCATGACGCTTTGACACGGAATGTGCGTCTCATGAACGGGATACTTGTATGAGGTAGTACCCATTAGAGGCCAAGGTCATAAGGCATTAGTTGTGGGAGTAGGGCACTGAGTCATAGAAACTAACTGGTCCATTCGGTTAAGGACAGTCAAGGTAGATGCCATTCTACGTCCTGGCGTCCTTTTTGACGAACTGACCCTGTGTTGATGATGGCTTCATCAAATTCATGGCAAATTTACGTTGGTCATGCAAGGCAGTCTTTTTGATACTGCGTAGGAAATTTTCGAATCCTAACTATCTTCTCCGTCATTTGGCTTCCTGCTGGAAAACCGATTTCTTGTGCGGTTCCATCCTATCACTTGACCGAGATTTCATTTTCTTACAAACAATCTCATCTTTTTTCTGTGCTGCTTGATCACTTAAAACAGTCTATTTTTGATATGAGGTAAAACACCCACCCGAAAATTATTACTTAGGTGCTTTACTGTCAAACAATTGAAGGCATCACTTTTAAATGAAAATATTTCGTTTCCTTCGCTATAAATTGGTTATCTTGTAATCTTACCCCCATCAAGTATCTCTCAATCGCTTAAGACGATCTGCCTAGGGTACGGAGTGAACGGATTTTTGAATCTTTAGTAACTTTACCGTCAGGCAGTAAAATCCTGATAAGGTGAGGATGTAGGGTTATTTGTCACTAAACTTAACGATCCTGTAGCGCTACGCGCGATCGGACAAGCGTTGCAAGCTGCCAAGTTGGATTCAGGCGCAGTTGAGTGACGCCTACGTGAATCTCTCGACGGAGGAGGCGGCTCAGGCGTGTCGGCGCTTCCTACGCCTCATGGGCAGTCATCCCTTCCGACAAAAGGACCAGTTGGGCCTCGCCCTCCTCACATATGAGCACGTGGAGGCTTTGGTCAAAGAGCGTGCCGAGGCAGCCGTTATTCAGCACTACAGCAACGTCACAACTGCTAACAATTCCACGGTGCCGGGGAGCCATATGCCGAAGCTGTCTACTGCTCTGCCTCCCACTCAACTGTAGCGTTGATTCTGACGACTGCCCTGCGATTTGTAAATAAACGCAATTTTGTGCCCAGAATGCTCAGTTTTGTAAAACTGAAATATTTTCATGGGTTCTTTCTTGACCCTTCGTTGAAGTAGCAGAGATGTGCCAGCTCCCAACGGCTCCACGTTGCCAAAAGGCTATATGCCAAAGTTGTTCAAGACTGCTGCCAGCACAATTGTGACTTCGATTCGAGACTGGTGATTTTTAGCTGTCATTCATTCTTGCGGATCCGCTTTTTGTCCCCCGCTAAGCTACCACGGGTACATTGTCGACCATTCTGGATGCGTTCTGTCATTAGTAGTTAATTGCTAGTTTTTGTAGCTGGTGGAAGTAATTCGTTTGCACTCATTCCTCTAAATCGAGCCTCTGAGACAGCTCAAAAGTTTGCAGGCGAGCACAAGGTCACAAAGCTTCGGAAGGAGGGTCACTTGCCCCCACACTGCAGTTTTTTGGCGATTGACTCGAACCGAGAGCTCTTAACGCTGAACAGCTAATCGCCCTACTTCTCGACGGATTGTCCGATCTCAGTTCACGTCATCTTTTAGCAGTTGCATGGTTATTTGTTTTCTTACCAGATTCACAGCCGCCAATAACGATTCCAAGCCCAACTTTTTTCATTTGGTGGACCTGAGCTAATTCGCACGACTTTCTGGGGGTATGAGGAGGACTTGTGGTGCTTTTTCATCTCCTGTGACTGATACAGAAGACGTACTAGTCAGCATGAACTGAATTACCCTTTAAGTGTTTCAATGGAAATTAGTTCCTGCGAATTTGTATAGCTTTATTTCACCTTAGTCGACAAATTGGCTGTTCATGGAGCTCCATTTTTGGTGGAATATTTTTTAACTAGCGGAAGCAGCGATGAGTGCGTCTGTTGATGTGTGAACTTGGCCTCATCAAGTGCAGTTGGCATTCACCCTTCCTCATGTCTCCTCTATGCACCTTTAGCCACTTAAACTTAAAATATTGTCAATATCCCGTTGTTTATGAAATGCCTACATTAGATGTTGATTTTGTCCAAATGATGCAGGTAGGGTCTGTAGATAGTAAACATTACTGCTCAAATCGAAGTATGCAAGTCAAGCGATAATACTATACGCTGCTCTCGAACCGACAACTCATGTGAGCCGTGATTCTTCACTGTGGCTGAATTAATCACCTTTGGAGCTCCTGGGATTGGCAAATCCTGGAGTTCATGTAAAATCCTCCGTTAGTTTATTCCTCTCCCTTTAGCGTTAAGTTGATTGAATTGCCAAAAGTCCCTTCAAACGACGCGTTCTTGCAGGAATCACTTTTCGAAGGCGCGTTCTGGAAGCCACTTCTACTTGTAATGACGAAAACTCGGTTGTGAGATTGGCAGGAAAGGCTTACTGGTGGTTATTTCATAAATCGTCCTCATTGTTGAAAGCAGACCGAGATACCATCAAAAAAGACTTGTTGGAATAATTGCGGTCAGATTCTTCATGCATTGGCCACGCTTTGCTGGCGTGATGCACAGCCTCCCACAGTTTGGCAGATGCGAGACATTAACGGCTCTTTTACAAGTCCGCGTAAAAAAGGACATAATTTATTGTCCACATTTCTCTGGGTGGATAACAAGTCCAACAATGCCTCCGATTGAGACCTTTTGGAATGCCCCACTTAGCGGCTTTTCTAGTGAGCCTCTCGAGCGACCTAAGGCCACTGACCTTATTTGTATTCTAAAACACGATCCCAAAATCGAGATTTTCATATCACCTAACATTTCGGGACATCTCGCGTAGCGATCACGCACATCAATTATCCGATCATAAAAGTTTTCCTTATGGATGGTTGCTTTTCCACTGGTTGGATTGAAAGGGATTCGCTTCCACCCTCCTCACGGAAAAGTAATCGCTATCCGCTCTGGGGTTGATGCTTTTACCTAGCTGTGATAAGAGGTACTGAGACGGCACCAGTGTTGGTCGTGCATTAAAGGCAAGGTAAACATCAGAACACTTCATTAACAATGCTATAACTGGGAGTACAGAATGAACAACGAATCAAAGCCACCAAAGTATATCCATTTGACACTTTTTCGCTCAATTTGGCTCAACAAATATGCTCGCGGTGAAAAGTAGACACAACTCATTTGAAAACTAGCATTCAAACGAGGGATTTCGACGAGTTGAGCGGCACCTCATCCACTAAGTGTGGACGCAGACTAGTGCCCGGAACTAGGAATTTCCACGCGTCAATAGGCAGCGGTTTGATGCCACCGTGTGCGGTCGCAATTGAGAAATCGCTGGTAGAAGAGGCAATGCCGGCGTGAAGCTGTTAACATCACAACCACTGATCGCCTTTCACAAGTGTCAGTCGAACTAACAAACGAATGGTCTGGTTTGAAACGTCGCAGATTTAAGGTACTTCTCAAATTACTTTAAGGGTACTGACACATTCACATTCTTGCATTGGTGTAAAACCCAGGATGCAAATTGACCCTCCAAGGGATTGTTCCGTAAAATTCTGCTGTACTTTGACTCCTGTTAGCACTTAATGTCAAGAACACACATCTAAGACTGGTCTTTGGTTAAAAATAATAGTATCCACTATGCTTTCTACAAGTCAATGATTCATCGCATTCAAGAGATCAATTAGCAGTGAGATTTTTCCTCGATCAGCCCTTATTTTCCCTCATCGCTAAAGTAGTCACACCTAAAATAAATACAAAAGCGCTGTCGTAGATACCAACACAGATGTCGAACCAGCAGGCCAAAGATCCTTTTCAAAACATTTTTATTAAGAAATACGGTTCCTCTAATCATCAAAGTAGACTCAGTTTATAGTTCAACTACATATTTAGAGCGAGAATGGAGAAGGCAAACCACTAAATTCATCATAAGATATCTCCCCCCTTGCTGTTTAAACAAAAAAACAAGCAAGAATGAATGCAGACTACATAATCTTCATGCGAATTATGATTAATTTCTCTACAAGGTAAGCGTCAAGCGAACGTACACACACAAATATACGGCTATTTCACAAGGGAACTTGCGGATGCGTTGGGAATTAAGTAAAATAATTTAGAGATAAAGAAAGAAGAGGGGGGGGGGGAGGACTCATCGCGATTGTGCACATGGGAGATCGAAAAGGGGGCAAAGCGGAAAAGCGCAGGGTTGGAACTATTCACTCACCACCATATACCCCCTCATCCAGTCATACAAAAAAACGACTACAGGAAGGTTAGAGAAGAAGCAGGTTGAGATTCTCAGATACCCTACCACTCCTTCTTGTAGTCATCGACTGACACTCCACCGGGCCCATGGGCCACAATCAGCATGAGACCCCCGATCACGGACCAGGTCTGGAAGAAGTCGTACTTCAAAAAGTCCCACATGATCTCATCGGAGTAGCTGGACCAGAAGTCATTGTAGTAGAAGTTCATGCACGTCAGCCAAGAGACAAGAACGAGAGCGCAGAGCTTAGTTTTGTACCCGATGGCAACCAGGAGAATAAGAATAAGATTAAGTATCGACTAAAAACCGAAAGATAAGACATTTTCAAAACTTAGTCGAATAAGCTGAAAGGGGAGAGAGAAAGGTGGCATTACCTGAATAAGATAGAAGAAACTCCCGCCCCAGTGGACAAGGGTTAGAAACATGAGGACCACAAGAAGACGTCCTCCCAGCTGAAGGTACTGGCGTGATCGATTTTCGTCACCGACTGAAGGGAGGCCTGCCAGAAGACTTCTGGACTCCTGACTTGCCTCAGCTATCAACAGGAGTAAACTGCCCATTAGTGAGAGGTTTCGCATAAGAAAGACCCGCGTCCAAATGTTGTAACCGATTGTTTGAATGACCACGGTGGCGAGAAGAATACCACAGCCGACTCTGACTCCGTACCGTACCATGACAAATGCGGAACCGGTGAATTGGAGAAGGATGTTTATAAAGATGAATAGACCAGCGAAGAAGCTGCCTACGCCCCAGACATGGCGAATGAAGTCAATTTGCTCCGACCACTGCGTCAGTAGTCGCATCCCATCTTCGATAAAAGTAGAGATGAGGCAGAGACGAGCCACATGGGGAAGATAACGACGACTTCGGCGGATAACCTAAGAAAGTAGGAATATTTCACTATAATTGCAACTTTGAGATTAAAATATGCTACAAACCGTGGTTACGCGGTAAAAAGAGAGCGAGGAAAAGTCGAAATACCTTACAAGGTACGATCTGGAATGCGAATGAATGATAGCATACCTTAAAATAATGAATCATGGAAGATTGGGCGATTTATGATGGCAATAAACCCCTGTGGAACAAGACCAACATTTGAGGTATGTGGAAAATTCGTGTGAAAACTACCCACTCCCATTAGACCGCATAATATTGAAGAATGTAGACTTTAGAAGTCGAGATTGTCAAAAGTAAAAACCAACATGAAGAAGACCGTGCAACAAAAATGCAACTAACAAACGTAATCGTAGCAAGGGAGAAGTGAAAATTTCTCTAAAAGAGTAGAAATTAAGCATACAATCGGTAGCTTTTGGAGAGACTTTGTTCTGAAATTGGTAGTGAATAATAGTAACCATGCGAAAAAGAAGCCATCAAAGTGTCAAGAAAGGTAAGGAAATCACTGATGTACCCCATCGGCAACGTCCTCCAACTTTGCTAGAAACTCTTCCCGATTACGAGGGTGCGTAAACATGTAGACCATTTGAATAAAAAACGCAGTATGTGGCAACACTGCGGAGCTTTAAAAATCGGGCGCACAAGTAGGGCAGTAAAAAAAAGCAAACAAATACCAGTCAAAAAGTCTCCCAATAAATTAAAAAACTCAATAACTTAAAAGTTGCAGCAAATAAAATAAAAACAAGGTCAAACTACGACCATAAACCAGCGCAAAAAAATTTTAAAAACAAGATGGAAAGTATGCATAGTACGGTATAGGCTACGCTTCAAAGCAATACCCAGTAATTTATTTAAAAAAGCCAGATTACATTTCAGAAGTATATTATTGCATTAATATTGGGATAGCAACAACACCGCTTCGGCCTCGTGCGGAAACTTCACACGCACTAGTTAAACCTGGCTTTGACGTAAATATTGTTAAATGTTAATGCAGTACACCTATTGTTTTAGTGTCCCTTTCTAGGAAAAGGCGCAAATACAATCCAAAAGTGGTGACAGAGTCGACGCCCTGCGAACCTAAGACCTTTTGCAAACCATCAACGCACTAAACGCTGCACTCGTTTTCCCCACCCATTTCTTTCAAAAAATATGTCAAAATCAAACAAACTGGCTTGTTTTTAGAGCGCCAGGATTAAAAATGAGGAGACCTACGGTCCTCGTCCTACAGTTAGTATTCATGGTTGCGATTAATGCGACTGAAAATACTGACTTGTGGCGACTTAAGTCTAGCTTCCACGCACTAACTTTCACAGTTTGCCCAGAATCTATAAATCATCTTCGTAAAGGTTGCGTTAATGCTTTTTCTAACGAAGAACCTGAAGAATTTTACAAGCCATTGCAGGAGTTTAGGTATCCTCATTTGTGTATTTCAAAATCAACCTTATCGCCAGACTTAAAATTCTACTAGGAGCATAGACGAAAAATCCATGCAATGAATCTGCTTATCAAAATTGTTGTCATGTGCTTTGTAACTTCCCCTTTTTGGTTTTGGGCAATGTATTTGTGCACAAACACCGCGCTGCGAATACTTTCTAATTTTTTTGTTTTTATTTCTATAGGCATGTGAGTAACTTACGATTTGCACCAATTTAATTTTTTAATAAATTGTAAAAAAGGTTGCGATGCCTTTTATGGTCTTTTTTGTTACATTTGTTTGCATCTTTCAATTTATTTTAGTATTATTATTTTTACGCCCATTTAAATTTCTGTTTGCAACTTTGTTGTTTAAGTTTTTCAGTACAGACTTTTTCTGAGCCACCTTCAGATATTTGAAGGATTATTTTTCTATTGGCTGATTGCTGCCGTTTTCAGTTTTTATCTATCCATTCTCATCGCGGTATACTGCATAATGTGAGTATGAGGTCGTCCGCGTTTGTTGGACTTATCTCTTTCTTACGCTGAATCTTTTGATCTTCGTTAATTCTACCCGCTACTAACGTGTTTATTAGTCTTGATAATTCAAGAAACTTTGCAGAATAAGTGATTTTCATCTTGGAAAGTTTATTGTTTTCTTGTATGGACCTTATCGAGTGTGCGTGTCTAGCCATATATAGTGAGCGCAATCGAAATTGGGCAGCTATTTAGGCACCGGATTTCCTTTCTATTTTATCCAAAGGTTTTATCTCTTGGTACTTTTTCCCATAAACCCGCAGTGATAAAGTAGGCTAGCTAAAAAAATATGTATATATATGGTGTTTTTTTCCGTGCTTTTGCTATACCGACACTCATTTTATTTTTATTGCTATTTGTGAGCTTTTGTATTTTTTTGGTGACACTAAAAGCATGTCTACTATGACTATCAATGAAGCGCTTTGTGTGAATGACACCCTTCCTAGATGCTTATTTTGGTATTGTTCGATTCTTCTAATTTTGGTATGTAAACACGGGTTTTTCGTCCCTTTCTCTCTTAAGTCGAAGTAGTAAACTTGAATCCGGGTATTTACATTTTCGTGAGTCGCTTCGATTTTTACGGCCCTTAGAACCCATTTTTATTCGTCAAATACTTCACTTGCATCCACTTAATCTACCACTTTCAGCCCGTTTTCAGATCACAAGCCTCTGTGCAGGACCGCGTTTCGGTCAATATGACCTCTAGTGAGTCAGGATCGGTTGTAAAGGACGGTCGCTCGGCATCCACGTCTTTCCTCTCCCTTGGATCCTCGTCTACCTCCGTCTCCAACCAATTGCCTCCATCACATCCCGGACGTGAGATCGCCATCAGCAGTCGTACTCTGGATAGTGTTAAGATAGCCAAAGTTACCCTTGAAAATTTCTACAACAACCTCGCTACTCAGTCACAAGATCGCCAAAACAGGTGTGTCTTTATGCGTCTCTTTCCTACCCTCTATTTTGACTTTTACCGTTTGTGACATCAATGATGTTGTTTGTATTGCAGGTATAAGATACTGGAATGCATGATGGAGTCAGAGGGCCTAACAGAAGATCAGGTATAGGCGAGTTTATGGTCTAAATCCGTCTCACTGGGAGTATTTTCCTAATTAGTGCGTCTTATCTTTGTAGAAGCAACAGAAACGAAGTCAACATGCCTTAAAGGAAAGTGAGTACCTTCGGTTGAAAAGGGCTCGCCTTACAGTGGACGATTTCACACCACTAAAGGTTATAGGCAAGGGTGCTTTTGGTGAGGTGAGCGCTCTTCTGTTTCTCCTCATGCCTTCACCTCGAGAATGCGCAGTGCATATGTTCGTGTGAAGGCAATGTAATTATTTTATTAGTTAGGCGAGCGTTCGTATTATCTTACACTGGGCTTCATTGCACCGAGCTAATGCTGTCATATTGCTTCCTTTCTTCTCATCCTTCACATTTAAGGGGCGCATACCTATTGGTCTAACGCAGTACCCGTCTTTGAAACAGGATTAATGAATCAGGATTATAGGGCACTCTGAAATTTGCTTTCCTAAACTGTGAAATAAGGATGCACACGTTCATTCCTCTTTTTCTCTCAGTAAATTGATTTCCCCTTTTTCCAACTGGTGGGGATAGTTCACCATTCACTCGCCATGTTTTCCATCTTAGCGTTTTACAATATCAATATCTTCACCTAGCCCAAAAACGAAAGCTGGTCGAAAGCACTCCTCTTCCCTCCATACTAAAGTACATTCGCCTTCCAACCTCTCTACTTCATTATTGGGCATATTATTGGAATATTAGTTCTAATCTTCGCATCTGGGCTGCAGACCTAGGTATTAAAATAATTTTTATCACAATGGACACTTAAGATGGAAAATCGCGTCTTGTGCACAACTGAGCCCCCCCCCCTACCGCGTCACTGCCTTTTATTGCAGACAGAGATGTGTCTAGTGGGGCATTTGTGTGCTGCGGGGATACAGCTTTCCTTCGAAGGCAAGATCGTGCCTGCTTTATTCTCATCCCGTCATGCATCAGGGTGGTTTGTGTGTGTTGTTACGTTAAAAAAATAGAGCTGAAAAACAATCGCTGAACGAATCAAGTGTCAATGTTTGCTCCTTCTTGTGAGCGGAGCGGATGTTGTTTTCACCTGTTTTTGTTAAATGGGAATTAATGTATCCCTTACTCTTGTGACTCAGTGTTTCGCCTGTACTCACAACTCCACCCAGCAATTGGTCTTGAGTTGCTTCATTCACTAGACCAAATCGTTTTTGGATAAATAATAGATTATAATGGAAGAAGTTCCACACTCCCTGTTTGTGTACGTACAAACTGGACTTCCCTGCCCAAACTGAAACCGGGGTGTGCGTATTTACTTCACCTTTCCCTCCTGTCCGTATCTGCACTTGTGTGCGCGTTACCTGATAGTTAAATTCGTTTGTGTATGGACTTGGTAAAGTGGACACATTCACTCCTTCGCCAGCATAAATGAATATCCAATTCTATTTTTCTTCCGAAATTGTCTATCACTTAATCGGAGCTCTTGTGATCCACACCACTTATTCGCTTTTTGTGTGCAGACATCGCGTTCTTTCATTGGACGCATATCAATTCCTACCTTAGCTTCCTGCTGACATTTCAAGGGTCGGCGCAGTGGCGAACCAACTATTACACCTAATGAGGGTCTACATCTGTAATAGAGGAAACGAAGATATTGCGAGACTGTTTGGTTGGTGCTGATCAGCTGAATTCCCACCTTTACTGAGTGCTCTTGCTTGCTCATTGTAGGTGCGATTGGTTCAGAAACAAGACAATGGGTACATTTATGCAATGAAGATCCTTCGAAAGGCTGACATGCGTCAGAAGGACCAGGTGAGACCAAATTATCCATTCATTATGCTTCTCATGCCTCGGAATCCCCTCGTTTTGATTAGTTGCCCAACTGTTAGTTTTTTATTTCCCCTCACCTTTTTAGATTGCCCACGTTCGAGCAGAGCGAGATATCCTCGTGAAGGCTAACAATCCCTGGGTGGTGAAGATGTTCTACTCCTTCCAGGACTCAGTCAATCTCTATCTCGTCATGGAATTCCTTCCTGGAGGTGAGTTCTTTTTTAAGCCCCATAGGTAATGTGAGTTCATGGATTTCTGGTGAATTAATAGCGAATCTGCCTAACTCAGTTAGAATCGACTGAAATATCTCAATAATCCTTTCGGTGACTTTTAAAATCAGTTTCGACAATACTTGTACAATGGATTCTGGCTTCAATTAAATAGTTTGATTTATCCGTCGAATGAAGCATCTTACATTTTGACCTATTCTGCAGCGGCTGAATCAATTAAGCGGGTTCAATGCAGATCTTTGTGACCGTTTTTTTTTCTCTAAGAGTGTGTACGTGTGCGTGTCTGCAATTAACATCGTTATTTCAGGTCACATGTGCCTGTTTGCTTTCGCATGCTTTTTTTTCATGTAAACGTGTGGCCTTTCATCTACGCAATAGAGCCAGTCTTCTCGATTTTCACAAAGGTGCCTGCCTGCTTATTCATGTCGATGTTGAAAGGGTCATAGTTGCCCTCTGTTGCGTTAGTTTTTTGCTTTGCAAGTACCTTATGTACCCTTTTTTAGTCGGAATTTAGCAGCTGCATAACTCAATCCAACGCCTACTACGACTCCTTTATTTGCAAAGGTTCTCTCGCCCCTTTAAATTTTTAGTCACTGAGACCTTTTCTGCATCGTATGAAGTTGGCATTGGGTAAAAATATGCTGTCTTTACTCCTTCCTCGATTGGGCACGTGCCTGAAATATCTTTAATTTCCTTGCAAGTGATCCTGTTGGTTCTTGTGTTTTACGATTAGCCAGCCGGCCTGGTGTATGCTGATCCCCAAAAGCTTGGATGCCTCTAAAATATTTGCTTTCCAAAATTGAAAACGCAGCCTAAGCTCTAGTAGTACTACCTTACCTTCGAATCAGCGCCATGAAATAGTTGACAATCTCTCGCTTGCTTTCCCTCTCGTGCCCCAATGTCCTTTCACCTCAGTCCCCTTCTCCCAGAAAATGCATAAATTTGCTTACGAACGCTGCAGTTTTCTCCCCAATCCGTAGGAGCGCATCAGCAGTTGTGTTTGCACACGCACGGACGCGCGTACATAAAAGTGAAAGTCAAATATGACCACCCTTGCTCTCCCCTCCGTAAGGTGGATTGAAATCAGCTCGAGGACATTGTGACTTTTTGTTTCCTTCGGGGAACAGAGTGCTGTAGAATAAAACGCATCGTTTCGCTTACCGCCACCCAAGGTCGGTCCTACGAATGCCTCGAAGATCTCCTCCTGCCAAAGATGAACTCGCTCTCAAGCCACCTCAAAGGTCCATTGACACATTTCGCCTTAAGTGGAACAATCGTTCATGGGGTCGCGAAGGACTGGTTCTTCCAAGCTGTAAATACCTTTTATTAAAGTCTCGAATGTATGCTTCAACTTGGACAGCCACAAACGATTTTGTACTTGACCTTGGCAGAGGTGAATCGTCGCTTCTGCCTTCTTACCCCGACCGGAGTCCGCATTCGGTTTACTTTTTTGACCACGTAGGCCTCATTTAATGTCGCTTGCCTGCCTGGGTACGTACTTCTTCCGATGTGATGGTCATTCACGCAGCCGTGTTGTGTGGGGCTGTCCTTTTCAGGTTAATTGCCCTTCTCCCCTCTCTCCCTTTGATCCAGTATTCACAATCATCATAGGCACTTTGGGGGCACTAGTACACTTTTTCTGCCTTCTATAATTTTCTTCCAGTGTATCATTCCCTTACCTTGAAGAGATCTATTTCCGCCAGCGTCTTCATACGATTTTCGTCAAGTCCTTTTAGATAAATTGGAGGTTTATTACCTTTGTAAGTAGATTTACTTGTAGAAAAAGTGGCATCGTTATTTTAAATTTCCCATGTAAATTGACCATTTTCGTCACCTCTTGTCAATAGACAATTTTCTTTTGGAGGCACGTGTCCCGATTTCTCGCGACGTCTTTTGGACCCGCGTGCAGCCCCTTGTCTCATATTTACCAATTTGTGCAGACTTCTTCCACCAATGGAAGACTGCACGAAATTCTTAGAAAACTAGTAGAAGTAAAGGTTCATTTCCTAGAGAAAAGTGGTTATACTTTGAAATAGGCGTTAATACGTGACTTGGAGTGCAGTTCGGATTCCTTTTTAGTCGAATATGGAGAGGTCTTTCATATTTGTGTATGCGGCGAAATGATGCCTTTCTCTTTTAATGCATTCGCATTCACTTCTCTTCAAATTGCCTTTCCCACAGATGTGCATGCCCTTTTTCCAATGAAATTGCATGGCTCTCCAAAAATAAGTGCTGTTACCTTGACTAACTTGTGAGTGTCCTTTCGGTGGTGGATAGGGCTAAGCGGCGGGAACGCCCAACCCACACATTCCTGCAATAGCACTGGCTACCAGTGTACGTAACCAATGCGCCTACTGAGTGGGCACCACGGTACAACCTGGTGAGCAGTCGGTTCATGGACTGCATACGACGCCTACTTAGACGTTTTCCGCGTTTTGGGCGTCATTTGTACTTTACATTCGTCCAAGTGATTACTGCTGATTATTAGTAGAAGTCACTACACAGAAAGCAATCACCCGTTGTCATTCCATCGCCAGTAATGGCTGACCTGTTTTTTTTTCAAAAGGCGACATGATGACCCTGCTGATGAAGCTGGATACGCTAACCGAGCCCCAGACGCAGTTCTACGTGGCAGAAACGGTTCTTGCCATCGATTCAATCCACAAAATGGGCTTCATTCATCGAGATATCAAACCTGATAACCTCCTTCTTGACTCCAAGGTATGTAATCGTACTTACTAGCTGTTTTCGTCGCAGTGTTAGCGAGAGAACTAGACTGACTTCTGATCCAACTTCTAAAAACATGACTATGCAGATAGGAACTAGCATGAACGAAATGACTATAGAGTGAGGATTACCACAAGAAGGCTGTGCATAACTGAGGACCTGTGCGCGAGTTCAAGAGAGGTCCTAGTGTAAAGGCACCACTGTCAGCTCTGACGTCTCAACTTGATATAAGTGGGTGTGTGTGCTGTACACTTCCATTTTTCATTGTCCTCATCTTTCATTGCTCGTCAATATCTTCCTTCGTTTTGCCTTTCTCCAGGGCCACTTGAAATTGAGTGACTTTGGGCTGTGCACGGGTCTAAAGAAGGCACATCGAACGGAGTTCTACAAGGACCTCTCACAGGCCCTTCCCAGCGATTTTGGTGAGTTTCAGAGCGCTGGCGCTAACCTCATTCATGGAGCGAGCAAGCCGGTGGTTTCGTCTCGGCATTGCGCTGTTGTGTGTGTGGGTGGGTGAGTGTGCCGGCTGGAAAGTGGATTTACTACTCTTGCATCGTCCTATCGCTCTCTTGCTGCGAGGCTGGCGCGATTGGACTTCCTGATCTTTGTGTTTCCTTTCTTTTGTGTAATCGAGAGGACTTTGTCAGCTGAAGTGAGTCACCCTTGCTTTTTTGGTTTGTACGATTGAGTGAATGATTAAGCACACACCGTGTTAGTGTTTTTTGCCTAATCGCGATATTGGCGAGATTGATATTGGTGAATGCCTCAGGTTCCTTCAGGCGAGATGCTAATCATCGCGCTGCATCAACATGTTCTCCCCCCTTACGAAACTGACACGGCACAACTGGTTTGCGCTTCTACACAGTCACCGGGGCTTTAGCACCGATGTTGACAACTTTTTCATTGTTGGCATTATTCACACACCTTGTAAATAGTTCCCTTCATTTGTGCTACCGTTGGGTGAATTTCCTTCCGTAAATTTGTTATGTGATGCTTCAGGTGTCGTCCGGAGCTAATCTTAGGGGCTGTATTCGTGGGAACAGACATAGTGGGCAGGACTTTCGCCCTTTTCAGACAAGTGGCTTATAAATTAGTATAAACAGCTTGCTGGATGAATTTTCTTCCAAAGTTTGTTTCAGTTTGAAATGACAACACCGAGAGCTGGGTATTTTTAAAGTTCAAGAAATCCTTTTTTCGACCTCTTGCACCTCTCTTCAAAATTAGACTCATTTCACTTGAAATAGGCTGCGAAGATAGAGCTAGATCAGAAGTTGATTCAATACCGTTCTCGAACACCCAACCGACGTAAATATTTTTAGTGGATAATGGATTCTTATTGTTCCCAGAAATATGCAAAGTGTTTGCGCCTTTTTCGTTTTCAGAGCTGACTTTTTTTGTCACTACACATGTTACACGTGTTCACACTGCTTGAGTCATGCCACATTGCAGTGGCACACGACCTTGCAGGAGGATGGTAAAGAAGGGAAATACGCACCTCTTTGTGCCTCACTCCTTTTTTTCTTCTATAGCCTACAATATCTTGGATTCACGAAGGCGAGCTGAAAGCTGGAAGAAGAACCGACGCTACTTGGTGAGTTTGTTGTAGACGCGCTCTCCCCCTCCTTCCCTCTTTATCTCTGCTCATCTCTACCAGTAGCAGTAGCACCAACAGCACCGAGAATCATAAATTTCCTTCGATGTCTGCACTGGCATGTGCTGTGTTGCGTGTGTGCTAGTGAGCGATCTTGTGATCGCAAGTCTACGATGCAGGGCACGTGAGCCTCTGTCTGCCTGCTTACCCGCCTTTGTGCTTGACCTCGGCTTATCTCGCGGGAGGCTTTCGCCTCTCTCTCTCTCGCTCTCTCTCTCTCTTTCTCTACGTCCCCAGTTTTACTCTTCATTCTTTTTTTCCTTGTTCACCCTTTATTCCGTCAATTTGCCCGTCTGATTTATGTCCGTATTCGAGGGTGTGTTGTTTTGCCCATTCCGTCTGCCTTCTTTTGGGTTGGCTTGTGAAGTGGAGTCTGTAGCGTTCATCGGGTTTGCACCTCTAAAATGACGCCGCTACCGAAAGTTTGGCATGTAGGTGAACTTGGACCTTTTTCCTACTGATTGTTAGGACTTTTTCACCCTTTTGTGTAAGTGAAAAGTTTAACTCTTTGATAAGTAATAATAAATTTAGGCATAAGTTCCAGTTTATTTCACGAGGAGCACCCACCGTGGCTAGCTTTGGCAGATGACTGATTGCCCCGGTGCCGTTGTCTCGGCGTAAGCACTGTCAATTACTCCAGCTCAAAGTCCGCAATATATGGTATTTTACCTACTCCTCACACCTAGTTCCATTTTTCATGGAGAAGGGATTATGTAACCGCCTTTTTTGATTCCTTTGCAAATGGGGCTGATGCGGTTTAGCACGTGGAGAGATGCTCGGTGAAGTAATTAAATGTATGTCGTCTTCCTGGTTAATATTTGACATTCCTCCTCACCTATTTGCGCATCTCTTTCCTGGTGCCGCTTCAACCTTTAAGGAAGTAGTTGATAAAAATTAGCTTTTAGAGTTGATTTTAGTCGAAAATATGGGTTTTCACTTTATAGGTCGCGTTCACAAGTAAACTTATTTATTCACTTTGCTTAATGTTTTAGTTTAGGAATGGGGTTTGAACAGTTACTGCTATTGCTATGGTCCAAGGTTCAACCCTAGTTTACTGGTCCTTATCCTGCATTCCTTCTCCTTTTACTCGACTGCAATGTTACTTTTGGCCTATTCTCTCTTCACAAGCATAAATGCTTTCCTCTTAGAACTCCTCTGACGAGATTTTACAACACAGTGTGATTTAAAATCAGACATCATCAAACGCAGTCATTTCGAAACCACTTTGTCCCCACCTATTTCCGCAACAAGGCGTGGAGGATGTCTGGCATTGTTGTTGCTACGTCGCCAGATTTTTGTTAACGCCTTATTTGCAGCTTCATTTTTCTTCATCTCTATCCATCCACTGAAGAGATTTCCGTGCTGAGGATGTCAGCATGTACAGAAAAATCCCATAGGTGCATGGTTGTCTGAAATGTGTCTTCTTATGCACCTGACTTGGGTTTGCAGGCCTACTCTACAGTGGGGACGCCGGACTACATCGCACCGGAGGTCTTCCACCATCAGAAGGGCTACGAGTGCTCCTGTGACTGGTGGTCTCTAGGCGTCATCATGTACGAGATGCTTATGGGTGAGTCCACTCTTCCTGGTAGCAACACGCGTCCACTTGTGAACAGACCTCCTGTTTTTCCCTTTCCCTCCCCCACTTTGCATCTGTATGAGTTTATGACAGTCCTGGTTTATACAAAATGTCAGTCTTGTGCTGCGTCATCGTGTTGCCTCCTTCATTCTCTGACATTGGACCTGACGCTCTTGTGACATCGTTCTACTGCAAGTTTTAGTCATGCGAGGCTTATCACTAAGGCTGAGATGTTCGACTTTGATTGTATATTGCGTTTTTTTTCCATATTCAAAGCTAAAAACGTCGTAGATATTTGCAAAACAAGGTGTGCCTATTTTCAGTTCCATCTTTGTTTACACGATCTCCCTCAACGAAACTATAATAATTGAAACTGCCAACGCTTTCTACCTAGCCTACTAAGTTGAATTATTTTTTGTGGCTTTGTAGGGTTATAGGAAGTAGCTTTGCTTAAGGGTGAAGAGGGAGGATTTTCCAATGCAGCGTGCAGTTTTTTTTGGGTCAGTCGCACTCCTTGGGATCATTTTTAGGTGATTTGCAAACCGTCGTTTTCTAGTGGTTTAACCAGCGTTTGTATACTGAGTTTTTCTCCGTTACCCTGAGTTACAAATGCGAGCGTGTTTGTTTTATGTTGACTCCTGCATGATCAGAGAAGGCTTTTACCCCAGAGAGCACACCGGAGGGTTCTACCAACCAGCTTCTGGTGTATTATTAATAAAGTGGGGGCAAGTTGGTGTGGCTCGATCTAATCAAAGCAGAAAATGCCTCGAACCAACAACGCAGTGGATCGCATGAGGTGCGTTCTTTTTTTTCCAAAATCAAGTCAACCGGCATTTGCAGGAGAGCGAATTGCCTCTTTTTTTTGCAAAGATGACTGGCTCGGAGGGGAGGAGGCTGTGTGGGTTGGTTACGGAGAGGTGGCTGTGCGCCTGCGTGTTTATGAGGGAGGCGTGTGTCTGCGGCTGTGCGTAACACTTCTAAGGCTTAAATTTTTCACATTTCAAATGTATTAACACGGCATTGGTGCTGGATCATCAAAGTGTAGTGTTACCATTTGGTTACTAAAAACCTCCTCCTTTTCTTTTGCCTTTTAATCTTTATTCAAACCTTTGGAAATAATTAATATATGAAATGAAGCTTTAGCATAACGGTCTCCTGAGAAGCGCTAAATGTCTTCGGTGTTATCAGGCGTAAAAGTCGAATTAAATTTTACCCCCTTTCAAACCAACTTCCTCCCCCTATCAGACAAACCTTTTACTCCTTGACAAGTGTCAGGGATTTAGCTTTTTGTGATTACCCTCCTTGGAAGTTGGTGTTGAAATTGATTCATTTTTTTGCTCTTTTACACCTTCTGCCGATACGTAGCAATAATCTCCGCAAACACGTCTATTTTATCTGCCAATAAATGCTGTTAAATAACCGTTTCAAATGCGACTTCACGTCTTCGTTTCGTCTGTTATAACATTTCTCAGTGATCGGCGTTTGAAATTGATAGTTAGCATTGACTGCTGATTCTCAATGAATCTCAACGTGATTTTACGGAAATTGACTGACTTTAAGGAAAAACTGGCAGGGATTGTATCGGCCCAAAGAAAAAGTGATTATGCCTGTGCACTTATGGTCATTTTTTATTACAATAATGGACGTCCGTGAAGGCGCGTTATGCAATCCAGTGTCGGTTCTACCAAGTGTGTGCACGTGTCTGTTCTTTTAAAGAGCCACCTCTCGGCGTTATTACTCATCTAAGTTTGACCTGATCCCAATTTTGACGAGGAATTATCCTCCACTTCATCAAGCAAAACGGTGTTTCAGTGTGGAGAATGTCTACAAGAATATTTTGAAAAGATATCGTGGTAGACACGATACGCCTCGGTAGATTATGAGTTTAAGAACCAAAAAACTATTTTCTCTTCTTTAGAACAATTTTCTCTCACTCTTAGTAAAGATTGCTTCCAATCTTGATCGAACGTCCTGACGACGTTTTGCACGCATCTTCTCGGATCTTGCGTGGAAAATGTTTCGTAGTAAAAGGGCGCACAGGCGTTACTTTCTTGTTTATGTCAACATGACTTCTGCAGCACTTAGCAGTAGTCTGTGCGTATGCATGTCTGCTTCTTTGAGGCGGCACTGGCTGTGTTTGAAGGAGGTTTGCTTTGATTTCAATTGCCCTGCAAATTATTAAGTCCCCGTGAACCTTATTGTCTTTTGAAAACGGATTTTGAGATCTAATTTTTCATCCTACATTTGATGATTAAATAAAAAAAATCGGTCACCCGAGAGTTACAGCGAGATTTCATGAAAACTCAGGATAAAAGCGCAGTTCTTGACATGCGTTTCTGCTTATTTTCGGTTACAGAAATGGAGACATTACTCGTTTAATTGGACTCAGCCTCTACAGACGGGGTTGCTTAGACTTGAGTTGTCCTTACGTTTCAGTCACGCTGTGCAATAGTCAAATGTGTTTGCTGCATTTATATACTCTCATAGGTTTCCCGCCATTCTGTGCGTCGACGGCGCACGAGACCTACCAAAATGTCATGTCGTGGCGCGAGACCCTCACTTTTCCCCCAGAGACACCCATCTCCAAGGAAGCCCATGACCTGATCACCTCGCTGTGCACCGATGCGGAGTCGCGTCTCGGCTCCAATGGGGGACTGGAGCAGTTCCGTAAGCACCCCTTCTTCGTCAATGTGGACTGGGAGAATATCCGCGAACGTCCTGCTGCCATCCCTGTCCAGATCCGCTCCATCGATGACACCAGCAACTTTGACGAATTTCCAGACGAAGACCTCACTTGGCGTACGTCTCATCTCCTTGTACCTCTCTCTGCTTCACTTATAAGCTCACTAAGCAACTTCCGCTTTCCACGTGTGTAGCGAATGTGACGGACCCAAAGAAGTCCTACAAAAAGGACTTAGCCTTCATCAACTATACATACAAGGCGTTTGATGGGTGCTCGAGCTGCGACCGTCGAATAGCGCGTCCCACGAGTCATCACCCGCAAAGGCACGTCCGCCCCTGCACTGCAGCGGCTGGAACCGCACCCTCTGTAGGCTGAGAAGGTGTCTTCCTCACTCGCTTCCCTCATTACATTCCAGATCACAACTGCGTGTGTGCCCTCCTGTATAGAAAAATCCCCACTCACCCTCACTGTTCCTCCCAAATTTTATAATCCACACACACAGTCTTTTTGTTCCCCCCTTCCCTCCATTCATGTGTTGCAAGAGCTTTCATTTAAACGCACATTACAGACCTATTTGTTTCTTTCCTTTCCTCATCTCGTCCCCTCCGTCTCAAAAACAACAAAAATCAGAAAGAACTTTGCTCAAACCATCTCCACTAGCCGCAGCATTTTGCACTACGGACTCTATCGTGCACGCACCCGCCCACCTGTGTTCTGCCATTCCTCGGTCCCCACCCTCCCCTCCTCCCATCCTTCTTTTCCCACTTGTTGGCTGTGTCTTCTCCATCCCTTTTGCTCCCCCCTTAGTGGCTCACTTTCTCCACTCTCTACATCCTTCTGTGTGTTCACGTGCGTGCTCGCAGGTACTATCCGAGAGGCGAAGGATTATCACTATCACCATTATTATTCTTGTCATCATTGCGCCTTACGCTCCACTGATTTATCCGCCTCACCGATTGCCACGCTGCAAGCGGCGAAGGAAAGCAAAGGGAAGCACGTGTACGCATGTGTGTTGTGGAGCGACCAAGCAGACATTTGTTGTTTCCTCCCACCCCATTACGCTTCACTTAACCACGTAAAACCCTTCCCCCCTCCCCGCCCGCCTTTCTCGCCTTCCCACATTTCCAATGTTTCACCCACCGAACAATTATTTTTGCTATCTTACATAACAACTTGCTTCTCCTCTTTCACTTATCGTTTCCTTCATTCATCGATGTTCATCCACAAAGGGAATGACGGCTCTTCTACTGAGATAATTCGATTTTTGGCACGGGGACTGGAGTTTCTTCTGTCCGATCTCTATTTCGGTCAGTCATTTTTCTATCAAGGGAATCGACGCTCCACTTGACGTTCCTCAACCTTAAGGGAAAGTAGAGGCCGCGATTTACACGAAGAAAGTTGAAAACAAAGCGGCTTTCTTGTACAAGCATAAAGAGGTACAGATGACATCGTGGGGGGGGACGACCAAAATTTTAAAGGGGAAGGAAGCAGCACGAAGAAGGCTTGTTGGGCTTGGAAGGGCAGGAGGAGCAAAGGAAGTCAGGTTCTCTGTGGCCTTGGCGCCATGCCTCGATTTGAATCAGGGAGTAGGAATCGAAGTTTTGCGCCTGAAATGGTTCCAAAGGGGGATGAGCTTGGATTGACCACAGATACGCTCGAGCAGCCTTGGACAGGTTATCGTTTAAATTCTACTTGGCTTCCTGCTCTCCTCCCTCAGTATCCACACTGACTAGCCTGTGCACAGCAGTTGAAAGTGTGAGAATAAGAATTTTTCTGACAGGAAGTGCAACAGTCACACTCGGAGGCCTTAAGTGCAATAATTTTGGGAGGGAGGAAGCTGGTGTCATGCACTTGAAGAAGCCCTAGAAGGCACTCATCGAAGTGTCCATTTCGAACGAACAGCAGAACGTGGTCTTGGATTTCACTCAAAACGGCTCTCCTCGCGATTTTCGTGACAGCACAGGAACCATTGCTATCAAAAGTGGGTGTTTAACAAAACTCCATTCTGCCTATCCCAACTTTATCATTGGTAAATTGAGGCACGCAAAAGTGCATGCCTCAGTGAGTGTCAAGACTGAATGTTTTTACAGTGGTCCTAAACTACAGATGATCAGAGGTTATTATTAGTCACTGTTAGTAATTAGCCTCAGGCCAAAAATCTGCTCCCTCCACTTTATTTTTTTGTACCCAGTCAACCTGTTTGCAGTGCGATTAGGTGTAGTTTGTTGGCACAAACTGATAAGGAGCACATGTCACGCATTTGTGACGCCGAGTTCGGATGAGAAATCCGAGTCTCAAATGCTGCGCAGTTGATGTTAACGAGGCATTTTTGGAGGAACTAGGACAGGTTGATGAGGCCATGACTAGTTAGTTGGTTGGCACGTTGCAGTCCCAATCGAACCCAGTTTTTAATTAACACTTGGGAGTTGGTTAAATGTATTCAAAATAGCGCATTTAGGTGCGACTGAAAGATAGACATCTTAATCAATGAACTTTACGCAATTGTTCTTAGTCAAACTTTGGGGAGACACAGGACCTAGTAAAAGTGGATGTGGTTTGTTTATGTCATTAAGAGTAACAACAACTTCAGTCTACGCACCTGCTGATGGAACTCGTAGGAGGAGACGAGCTGGTGGCCACTAATCTCCTCCCTGCCCCCTTTCCTCTTTTACTCGCATTTTATCTGGATTTGTCGCATTTTCCAAATGGCTTATTTGACAAGTGACGCTGAAGTTGGTTCCAATTCCTATCATCTACTAATGAATGTTCCCACCACGCAATACGCTCGACGGAAATTTTGAATCACGGCAACTAGTACTCACAGGGGGGGGAGTTACTAGGTCCACGCGCATTAGATGAGTTGGCGTTGGCGCACAATCCTCCTATCAACAATTACTGTTCAATCTAGCATTCTTCTCGACCAAACAGCAAAGTTTTTTGCTTATAGTAGAGTTCATGTATGCAAGACATTATTAACTTACCGATGCCGCTAAAGTGATTGGGAACAAGTGCCGTGGTGTCGTGAGGGGGGAGGGGAAAATGAAGCTCCTTTGCGGCGCTGTGCTAAAGGAGTAAGGACCGTTTTTGGTCCGGACTTACACAGCGTCCCGGTAGAAATCACATCTATTACTACGGTGGACGCTGCTGCCAAGGTATTTTAAGTCCCTGCGATTGCAAAATTCAAGCCCCGAAACACCAAAGTACGATAATTTGTTAAAAAAATTCAATTTTATTTCAAATAACCTATGCCTTTCAGGCTGCGCAAATAAAACTTGAATTACGACTTAATGGAATTGAGTTTAATTAAGGCAATACCAAAGTGGATTAGACACTGTAAATCCCATTCTAATTTGTTCCCCTTGCCAACCTCAGTTACATCTCTTCCTCCTCCCTCGAGATTTTACTAATTCTGTGACACTTCCAGAATGTTGTCAATCGCCAGGGCCAACTTGTTTGCCCGAAGGAATTCATACCCCCGTGGTGTGTGAGAGCGAAATCGGGAGCGCTTCGATGGCCGCCGAGATATGCGGCGTCTGTGTAACATCCGTGTCCGTCTTTTTTATTGTCAGATTAGCGTTCTTCAAATGATTTCGACCTGTGCCCACTTTTGTGCTGCACGCTTGCCTTCAAGTCAAAGATGAAAGGCTGTGCGGTAATTTATTCTTGAAGTGGTGTAATCACCATTCTACATTTAATACTGAGCTGACCCATTTTTTTATTGGTCTCTCTTGTTGTTGCATGACATTTTCTTCCCCACACTTCTATGCTCCGCGTCATTTGTCAGGAAAACATGCAAACAGGGTGCTGGAGAAGGCGTGTTGTGACGCGTTTCAGCAGGACTAGCCGTCTACTAAAATACGCTCTCTTTCAGAGTTATCAATACAGCTCAGATGTTCCATTTTTTTCACCTACTTTCCCGATGGAACAACACATTCTTTACTATTTCTTGATGTATTACAAGCTGTGCTGCTTGACAGAATTAAAAATTCAGCGTACCTTATGCAAACTCAAGGCCAGAGATCGTTTGAGAGAAAGTAATTTAGACTTAATTCCATTTTGGATGGACAAACACTCAAATTAGTACTGTGACAATGTTAAAATACAACAGAAACTACGCAGCCACCTAGATAACAATGAATTGTGACACGATCCGAGGATATCAGCAGAATATTACCTAACCTATCCCAATGGAACGGGTGACCTTATTTATAATTTTCGCTAGTGGGTTTTGTAGCTTGTTGAATTACCCAGTTCTGGGGCTTGTGTGCAGAGCCAAGATTAGGTTTCTTTAAAATGAAATCATTTAAGTGTGGCATAAATTTAGAGGTACGAAGTTAGACATTGTCAGAAAATAACATAGGGAGCTAACAATCACCTGACACAACCGCTTCATAGACGGACTTTGGCTTTATTAAACTGAATTAAAGGCGCTGATATTATTTAATTGTAAGGCAACAAAAATCCTAATCATTATGGACTACAGAAGCGTCATTTTAAATGTTATCAGAAAAAGGGAGGTCTCACACAACCATTGCAGATAGATCCCCGACTCATGGATTTTATTTTCAAAAACCATATTAAAAGGAACTAACGACCATTCAGAAAGTGTTTCGTAGGGTAGCAGGACCAATAGACCTACTCTTACGAGTGTTTGTCGGAGCAGAGAATCAGATTACAGGATGGAAAGAAGATGTATGTACTTTTATGGTAGAGTGAGCGACATTTTGATACGCGTACCAGTGAGACAAGTATCTCTCTAGAGAGAGGGCCTAGAAACAATCTACTACCCGAAAATATGATAGGGTGTACGTAGGTATTAAACCGCGGTATTAAAGCCACTTTTACAGGAGGTCACTAATATTACAATTCTTACGGATATTGGAGACCGTTGAGGTTATAATCATCCAAAAAAGGTATAAGCCCTCATTTGGATGGACGGATGACTACTTTATCACCTGCGTTAATGCTTTTGTGGCAAAATACAAGTTTCGTTTCATTATATGTGCATTAATAACTTCATGACTTCATAAGACACCAAATTCTTGAGGATGAGCAGATTTCTAGCAAATTATCCCTTCATATATCACCAGAATGCATGTTAGAACTTGTAATCCATTAAACAAAAGCAGTCAGTCAGTATCTCTGGGCCTCAATAATAGGTATTTAAACGCACTAAACACTACAGAATAAACGATTTCCTTACGGGTGTTGGTGGGAGCTGAGGTCCTGATCATGCGGTAAGGAGGTGGCGAGCCCTCATTGGGGTAGATGGGGGAGACGCCGTCACCGCCAGAAATGCATCTAGAGCGATTGCAGGCTTGGCCGCCAATGCTAACGGCTCGATTTGCAGGTCTCGTCGCTGACGAGATGGTACCAGTGGCGGAGGTAGAAGCGGGAGGCTTTTGATATCGCCTGACTTCAGGTGGTTTGCCCTGTCGATCCTCAACTAATGGCTTTTCCGGACCGGCGACGCGGCGACTCTCAGAGGCTTGTAGACGGTTCTGTAGCTGAAGCATCTCGGACTTCAGTTTGTTCACTTTTGACTCCATGTTTTGAATGTGCTGCAATGAGGAAGGACCCAAAAATTCAGCTGACCTGATCGTCTGAGAAGCGAGAAAAATTTCGAGAGTTGTTCAGTCAATAAACAATGTCCATAAATTTATTTTTTGGCTTTTCCGGTACCTCCAAGTTTTTTGTACTTGAGATTTGCTTTAAAAATATTTTTTATCTATTAGGGTGCAGGACAGTGATACCTTTACCGATGCAATCAAAAGCCGCGGGTGAGAAGATGAAAACATTTTCGTTTTCAGGCTAGTGAAAAATTGATCAGTCTATAGCATCAGTTCATATGTCACTGGCTATTCCTAATTGAGAATTGGGCCTTTAATTGCGGTCGATCAGTCACTGAACAACACCTTCTTGGTTAAAGACCCTTCTCCCTCTTTTCTCAGCAGTCCCACCGAACTGAGTGGTGATACGAGTGCCCCGAAAATGTCGTTGGAATTAGTTCGAGAAGCGTTCTATTTTTAGGGTTGCATATTTTAGTGTGTAATTCCAGCTTATGATGATCTAATTTGATTTAGTGGGGAGAAGAAGCCATTGGGTTGCCACAGCTGCGCGAAAGAGGGCACAGTTGTCCGTCGTCCACACATCGGGCAGGTGAATGCACAATGCCTTCACCTGAAGTACACCATTTGCTAACGGGCTCCAAATCCTTCCATGTAGTTGAAAGCGCAAGAAATCCAGCGCATGCACTGCTAAAAACTTGAAGTTATTGAGCTGTAACTAAGAGTTCCAATAACCATCCTTTAAAATGACTGAACTTTACCACACTTGTCGTTATAAAGCTAGTAGATATTCAAAATCCGATTTCGCCGCGAAATTCCACTTTCCTACCTTTTGGTTGAGAAGTGGTGTTTCAAATAACCAAAGCATGCCCATATGAGGTAGTTTAGTAATTGACATCTACAGTGGAGGACTGGTAAGGTCCACTGAAATGCCAATCAAGGCTACTTCCATGCGTTGACAGTACCAAACGTAGTCGCAACTCGAACTACCTACGCGAGCTATTTTTGAGTACACTGTCGTATGTGCTTAATCAAACCGCTGATCTGCATACGTTGTGTGCATTAGCCGCACCCTCGTTGACAGCGATTTCAAAGTATCTGTATAACGATGGCTCTGTGACGAAAAGCACCCGTAAATAGCTCGGCGAATAGAATGGCCCACTCTTAAATAATAAATAAAACCCACAAATCACCCTTACATGCGAGGAAAAAGGCGGAAATTTCAGACTAAATCCGCTTGTGAATACCGGGGATCATTTTAACCGTGTTATCATTACTTTTCTGAAATGCGTGTGTTTGCTTAATCAAACCTTTATGAGTTCCATAATTGATGTAAAAGACCTTTGCAATGACACGGTTTTTGTTCAAGCCAGAAGGAATATATGCCTGCGCCTTTGCTGACACTTCTATTGCCAATTTGAAATGCAGGAATAGAATTCGACTATTACTCACAAATATATAAACCCACTTTTCGGGGGAAGAAGCGTAACATTTGCTAAAAATACTTTTGCCTGCACTCTAAGGCGCTATTTACGGAGCACTGGCCATGCCGGAATAAGTTAGGCCAACCCTTGAAGCAGTACTTAGAACAAGAAAATTGTTAATCTCAAATGGTACTTCAAAAAATGATCACTTAGTACAAATGAGCTACGGGAAAATAACACTAAAAGAAAATTTATTTTACCCAAATCAATATGACATCTTTATGCATTTCTAATGATTGAGGGATAAGAAGAAAATTGGCAATACAAGGTCTTATACCCATAAAAATTACCTTAGTACCTGTTCGGATTGGATTGTGGATCATTTAGAAGGATATAGCCCCTTGGCAATCGTTCAGATTAGCGTAACTTTTAATGGTAGATACACCCTTTAAAGGACATAACATTGCCAACAAAATTCACCTGGAAATCGCACTCCTTGCGATGACAGGCAGATCAAAAAAAGTAGATAAATTCAAGTCCCCACAGTTTTGCTTTTCCCCTTCCACTGCTCGGCATATTTATCCACAGCCTTCCGCATTCTGGTTACTTGTCAGTGTCAGAGGAGATTGATGATACTTTTGTCTGTGTGCGTGGGTGTGGAGGAATTTTGTGCCCGCAAAGCCACAGAAATCGATATCAAATTTGGGCCGGAAACATCTGCTTGACATTTTGACAGAAACCATCACCACGACTGCCATTTGCTGCACATTGCAGACGCAGCAATAAGTCATTAGCAAGAAAAACGCCTTTGGGATGCTGTAGTAGGCAAATCCACTTGCAAGTGTATTTTTTTGGCCTGAAGTTTCCAATTGCAGCATTGGGTGAAAAGGCAAGATTATGGCTTTCAATCGTATAAAAATCATGCCTAATTTTGCTGTTCACAGAGCGATGTAAAATGGCGTTAATTTGTTGTACTTTCCTGCTAGCACCACATGATGATTAAATGCAAAACTTAAAATTTGAAACCTGCCTAAAATATGATCTACTGCGCCTCACAGGTTTGCACTGTGACAAAGTAAACTCATCATGTGCCTTTATTCAATCAGCTTCAAAGCCAGTTTTGTTGTTAAGCAGATCGCTGTGAATAAATTATAAAGAGCGCACAAATAAGGTCGCAAGCATTTTGCATAATAAGGAATTTTCCCCAAAGAACAACAACCTACGAAAACTAAAAGCAATACTTTGCGTGTTTTTCTACCTTGGGTCCAGGTCTTTATCAATTGCCGAATCCCACTTTGGAAGTAAGAATGTAATCCATTAAAGTGATAATGTTCAACCTTGAGGAGTTTAGAGGGTTCCTTTAGAAGCTAACTGGAAGGAAGGAAACTCTCAGCAAAGTTCTTTGTTTTAAAACCTAAAGAACACTGCCCTACATTTAAAATATTAAACGGCGATCACCGTTTGTTTACAAGTAAGGTTAGCTGCAAATACGAACGGGTGCTAAATAGAACTGAAAACTAAGGTGAGCCCGTAGATCCCACCCATCATTAAGCACCAGCCTGTCTAGTCAAGGGGTTAACGAGAAGGAGGCGAACATTTCCCTCATCGTAATTACCACTGAAATTACGACTGCATGCATATGCACACACAGAGAGAGACACAAGTGATCGAGTTAATCACCTCGAGACCAAATGTCGCACGTGCTGAGCGGGTTCGTGACGGTGATGGTGGTGGAGAGTCGGTCGAGAAGTGGTAAAATCGGGGGCACCTGCTTCTTCCCAACCTTTCTACTTGACCACACTCTACTGTACTCACAACCCCAATGGTGAATGCGGGTGGCTGAGGTGCCAATTAAGCGAGTGAACTAGGATAGATATTGGAGCCAGGATGGATAGAAAGGCGATCAGAAAACATCCAGGACCTTCCATCGCTTGCTGACTACTTAAATTCAACGATATTTCCCCCCAATGGGGTATTTATTTCATAAAAGTACATTTTCGATCGTTAAAATAAACCATTTGTGCGCACTTAACGGGTCTGTGTGGCTACCTCCTGATTCCACAACTAAAATTTCCCTTTGGCGGTAACTCTACTACGGCCATTTTAAGCATAAAACTTAATCCTAGTGCGAAAGATACTTTATCAAATTCGATTCTTAGCTTGAACAAGGGATGAGATAGGATACGAGTAAGCTTCGTTTCCAAGAAAAATTCGGTTTCAATATTACCACTGTAGCGGTTGATCAGTAAGGAACTTGAGCTTCTCGCACTCCGTAGTACTATTATTGGTAAGAATATGGACATGAAACAAACCAATAGTATGTATTAAAATGCGCTCTGCAAAAGTGCTCACATAAATCCGACGAAAAAATAATTACTTCCAAACCACTTCCTCAACACCTCTGAAGTAGGCTCGCTGCCTTGTTGCGAAGCTTATGAAATCCACTTTAATAGGCAAATATGACACAAATTGACTTAAAGATTGCAATTTTGCATGCTGAGAGATGTACTGGGAGGCGTAACAGTTCTGCCAGTACGGAAAGTAGGGGGCTATTGGAAATGTGTCTAGGGTGTTTCGACGCGTGGCTTGGAAGGAAAAATATAATCAGGTTTAAGCAATACACCTTTTAATCACGATTTTACTGTTTGTCGGTTGTGAGAAGGCCAGGCCTGACCTGAAAACCACCGTCAAAAGTATGCCAAGTTGTTGTAGAAGACGTGTAGAGACAAGCGGTGGTTCCCCTTCACGACTTTTCCATACTTATAAAGACAGATGTAAGAAACATTTTCCAAATCTTCGGTTTAACTTCGATCACTTCAACGGATAAAATGTAGTAGTTTAGTAGTCTATGTGCTTCGTATTTTTAGTAGCAAATTTCCACTCAGTTTAATCGAAGGAGCCTCGACCACCAAAGTTTAAGGTGCTTTTAGCCTGGTGCGAAGTTAATTTTTAAGATGAGTTAGTAAGAACCACCATGGACCTGTTTAAAATGATACTTTAGCTCGTTGCCAGTAAACGCACCCAAGTTTGCAACACAGGAACTTCAAAGCTTTTCTTTACTTCCGATTCCAGCTATGGGTGCGTACACAAAATAGCATGAATTTGGTCCGAATTCTTTGTCTCTACCTCTTCTACTGTAATACTTGACAATTTTGGTGGTCGGAGGAGAATCAAGAAGAAGGTGGGCTCAGTGAGCAGAGATGTTTTGTCTGTGTAGCCAAGTAAAACGTTTGCTTTAACTTTTGTCAAGCCTCAACGATGGAATGAAAAATAATGCAACAGAATAGAGTTACTCTAAACGTTTCGCAGCTGTACTTTCGACTTAAAAATGAGATCCCTACGCAGGATCTTGACTTATTCCTAAAAATATCGATGAATCGAGAAGGTTCTAGTCAGTGGTTATTCCTACATTCATTTGAATGATTTTCTGCTATATGGAAATAAAGTGTACATCCTAGTGGAAAACTAAAGAATTATTGCCAGTGCTAAGGCTAAATGCCTAACTCACAATTACATCTCGTACATGGAACCGGCAACAGCTAATCATGACTGATTTCTTCGTTAAAACCACCATACATAGGTATCAACTGTTGACTTCATATCACAGTTTCAGAAAATGTTGAAAATTTGTTCCACCAAACACAAAAGATAAGAGTAAATCCCTACACTAAAAACTCGATTTAATGAGAGAATTTTGTACATTCTAGAGCGATTACCTATTAAGGAATTTTGTATTAATAAAATCAATTATGTACTTCATTTGATGTGTAAGCTTTATAGATGAAGTTTCAAATTCAGAATGTGTCCCAAACTGGCATGCTTATCTTAAATTTGAAGCCAGTAGAAAAGTTTTGAACTAAGCTTATGGTCAACAACTACCTACGAAGGCCTTGAGTACCGAGGACTGAATCAAGCTTCTAGTTCTACCCTCAACGAACAGTTTGTTGGAAGTGAATAAAGGTAGAGCGAGAAACATACCCTATCCTTCTTCATCATCTTAGCCTCCATTTCCGCGAGAGAGTTTTTGTAGCACAACAGGACGTGTTCGTATTCCTCCCTTACCGCTTCTCTCTCACGACTGCGTTCCACCAACCCGGTTGCCTGATGCGCTATCATCGACTTCTCGAAGTGTGCCTCGCTTGCGGCCAACTGTTCATGAAGTCTATGGTTCTGTGTACAAAAGGCAAACGGGGAGGAGAAGAAGTAAACGCCATACTCAACTGGTGCCAGTGTCACATATGTGTGACGCACAAATTTCCTTATTACATTTATCAGATTATGGCAAATGGTGATGTCACATTGTGTAGGGGTAGTTAAACTTGAGAAAAAATGAGTTTGGAAAGTTCTTTTACAAGCCATTTGGTTAGTTTGGTAGCACATATTTTAGTGTTTCACAAGAAAACTAAAACATTCAGGCCTTGGTGGTCACTCTCTCTGAGATCCACTGGTGGCGAATTTGTTCTTGAAAAAGAAAAAGTTTCCAACCCATGTTTCTTTGCAAAAGCTGAAAGGTACGTGCTTCTTTTGAGCTCTTTAATTAAAAAATTATTCCATAATCGCACCCAAATGATATGGCAACGTGAAGGGAAGTGGAAATGAGTGAGCTTGCCTGGTATATCAGAAGACTTTTCAGTGTAAAGGAGAACGTTTTTTGGTAGGGATTAATCGCCTGTCTTTTTACTTGTTGAGCAAATGCAAAATTGGGTCCTTAGCCTTGAAATTTAGCGGTATGTAGTTTGAAACTCTATAATTGTTTTTGCCACATTAATTTTGGGATTTCACGTTGTAGGGCTTTTGTTAAAATGCCATTTGAGATTCCATTTGCCAATAACTGCTCCTGCAAACTACGATTCTGCACAGAAAAGAAAAAGAAGAAGAAGGTAGCCGTGGCAGTTGAAAGCATTGCCTATTAAGTGGCTGAATGGATTCTCAAGCCGAGCGCTTAACCCAGGGGAGCACTTCATGAAAGATTGAAGGAAGTTTTCGCATAGGCATTTATGTGAAAATAAATTGGACTCCAACTGATTCTTTTTATCTTCAACTAAAAGGACTAATTATGTAGCATCATCTACCGAGGTCACGCATATGCCACGTCACAATTTTTCTATCTGAACCTGGTGTCGCAATTATGCTACGTGCATTCATTATCAATGCGGAAAAATTAGTGACAAGAAATAAAATTATTCAGTTTTAAATGGCAATATAGAATCGGGTTGCTTCTGACGTTATATTACCCCAGCCTGCTAGTTTTTAGGCGGCATAACTTTTAATTCCTCAAATTATTTTTTGATCTAGGAGGTCGATTTGCTTTTTTGACCCCAGTGATTTGCCCGTTAAAAAAGAAGGAAAGCGAATGAAAGGAACTTGGACAACGAGTCAATCCCCTCAAATCAATTGCTTCTACACAGCGCTGTTCTGTGCAGAATAGCCAGGGGACAAGGAGGAAGAGAAGGGTAACGTAACGCTCCATCAGGTGTGTGTGTAAGTTCTCTAATGAACGGTTGAATGATATTGCTTGTGAGTACTTGTTGCGTAAAGGCACAATTTCTACCAAGAATTCGAAATAAGGAGTTTTGCAATCTTCCGGAATCAAAAAATACTTGCCATGAATTTGGCGACGGATCGGAAATCAGTGGAGAATTTGGTTCGACGAAGAAGGGCAAAAGCGTGGTGCCTTAATTTACTAATTTTCATCTAATCACCGAAAACGTTTATTCACAAGTGAATTTGTTTACCATCTTATCAAAGCTTAATCCTTGTATGCTGGCAAAATTCATACTTCACGCCTTGAGGGAAGTGAATGAAGGTGCGGTATTTGAAAACTGAGTGAGTTTTTAGCACCCTTCATTTGTAACAAACAGCACTAGAAGGCTGACTACAAGTTGGGATTTTGTGAAGGAAAAGAAAAGGATTAATTAGAGTGAGTCACTGAAGTAGTACAGACTGCAAGTATGTGAAGAAAAAGTGTACGGATTACAGTTGTGTCCTGTCAAATTGCTCTTGTCCTAGCGAGTAAGCATAAGCACACGACTGCCTTACCCAATCCCGTTTCACATTGAAAAGGTAAAATTACCTTTCAATACTTGACCTCCAATTTCATGATACGGGATTATTTTGTGGCTAAAAGCAGTCATGGGATCGGTTGCAGAAGTAGTATCAGTAATTGAATAAGGAGCTGATCGTCTGATAGACGTACCTGAACTAAGAAGACATAAGGTCTGAGAGGAAAAAAACGGAAAAAGTTTTGGGTCATTCAATGAGATCTAAGTTGAAATGTCAAATCTACTAACTGCCTTTAAATCTCTCTTAAAAGACAGACAAGGAACTCGTATCTTTTTTGAAAGAAGTGAACTAAAGAATACTGTCTACCTTTCACTTTTTGATTTGAAAATATAATAGAACGTGCCAAGAATCCGAGTTGGATCATGACACAGTGAAGAGGACTAACAAAAAACGCGATTGAGAAGAGGCCAATTTGAGTCAAGCTGGGATTGCAAGAATGAAAAGAAGAACAACGCGGTGGGAGGCATCATGTGCTCCAGTGGTTGACATTTCACTTTTCCAATCTGCTTCTCAATCTTATCATTTAAACACGAGAACAATGACTGTTTAAAGTCCTATTTGCTCACTACTACTTCTATTTTTTATCGTCCTTTTCCAATTGAGATGTGATGTGGCCTTTAAAAGCCTATTGTTAGCACCTCCTTGCTAGAATCGTGCCTCTTTAACAATGACTCCTTTTGCCTTTGTGGGTAAAAAGGAAGATCAAGGATCTACAGCAAACCACGTTTCTGCAATGTGAGGGAGAGAGAAAAGCTATCAGTTTATTTGATTTGGTCTTTTAACTGTACACTTTGATTGCTGAAAGCATTAGGCATCTGAGGTTAAAGACTTACGGAAATCGAAATTAAGCTTACGAATTGCATTAAATACACAGACAATCTTCAACCGAAAGTATTTATTTTTGCATAAATCCTTTTCAAAACCACCTATTATAGAGAAATGAGGCCTTTTGGGTGCTTTTGAATTCTACTTAGTTTCTCCAAGTGTTTTCAGCTATCCCCAGTCTCCACTTCTTTACAATTTCTTGGTTTTGTTTTTATAGTTTTCAGAAATCTATAAGTCTCCAACTGGAAATCTCGTTGTTGATTCCTTGAAAAAACTGGAATTTTAACAGAATCCTGTGAGAAATTACCGAACTTAAGTCAAATGTGTCACTTGCCATGTTGGTTCCAAGAGCTCTCTGGATCAGCAGATGTCTTGATTGTACCAAATATACATTTATGACAAATCCGTACCTAAATAGGTGGTGCTATCCGTATATTATGAACTTGCTTTAACTTGATAAAAGATTATATCCGGTTGAAACCAATCAAGCTCATTCCTTGCCACTTTAATTAGCTGTCGAAGTTACGCATACAAGATCAAATCGTCACCTGTCGAATCGCGCCCTTCATATCAAAAACGAAGACAGAAACAAGATTTTGTTCAACCTGAGGACTTTGGCACCATGGTAGATCAAAAGGCTGCGACAAGATATAGAGCATTTTTTTGGACCTACTAACCTCCCGTTAAACCACCCAAGGTCATGCAACGAGACATTTCCGACTCCAAAAATGCTGCAAAAAAACTTGAAAATGGTAACGGGTGATGCGGTTTTACGACCATCTCGGCCCTGACCGAACCACCGAGGAAGGTCGAGATCTTTGCATGTCAATAACCTGGCAACTGCCGACCTATAATTGCTGCTCACACAGTGTTCAGTAAAGTTGTACAGTCTTTAAAAGAATCTCAAAACAGTGCAATGCTTTATGGTGTAGGAGTAGGGTACCGTACGGAGGGCTTGCAATCTCGGAGATCATTTCATGCACCTGATTGGTGAATTATAGGCCTCAGAGTGGGCCTATGCGGGAATGAGATCATGTCTTGCATAACAAAGCATTATGAGAGGGAGAGATGAGGAGGTATAGCTGGGTGGGTGGTTATTTGGATGTATGCTTGTATTGTTGGAAGTGATGAAAAGTGAAATTCACAGTTCGCATTTAGAGATGGACTTAGTGTACTACTCAATGATTGTTTACTTGTCAACGCCCACCCCGATTTAACTTGTACTAAAATTTGCGATGATTGTGAAAGAAGTAGCAAGAAATTTTGCCATGGCCTCAGGCTACGGCGATCGAGAATCAGGTACTTTAGCAGTAGCATGACCCACTTCGTCTAGTTTGGAATTTATGTAGTTACAAACACTTTATTAGGCAAAATGTGGATTTGAAACAAGTGAACTCTTATGTTCAACATAAAAAGCCTCATTAACAAGGTGGGCTTTAATTATGCCGAATAAAATAATGTTTATAGTTCTAGAAAAGCACTCACGACATCCCCCAAACGAGTATATATGGTGCCTAGACCTACATTTTTAGAGACAAAAGGAAATGAATTATTCTAACATAGCTTAAAACACGAACAGGTAACATGAATGGCAATTTTCGTTCTTTTGCTAACCATTGAGCTTCAAATTCCCACTACAAAAGACCCCAGATATTGCCACGTGCAATCTTTTTGTGAATCGCGTTTATCCCGGAAAACGGTGTACCTGGGATGTGTGTACCAATTTTAGGCACAATCGGTGATGATGCTCTACAGCGCTGCCAACACACACGCAGTGTGTAAACGAACGTTTTCGGTACTTCAGTAACACCAGTCCAGCCCCCGAGTAGTTTAAACGAGTCCCGCACCTTCGCCATCACAATAATTAAAGCATTACCTCGTTGGTGAGATGGTCGACCTCCCATTGCAGGCCGTCGATCCTCGTGGTGGCCTGAGTGAGCTGTTCTAGGGTCTCTTTATTCGTTTCGAGGGCGCACTCCAGTTGGCTTCGTTGTTCCTCTTCCCTTGATGAGGCGCTCCTCAACTGTTCCTGGAGATCTGTGATCCGATGCGTTACAGCTACCTGAATGAATAGAGGAAAGGGTTGATTTACCCAGCCCAAAATTTTGAGATGAGATTGCTTTCTAGCCTGTAATTTAATACGATTGCGTTTTGCTATCAAAAGAATGCTGCTCCATGAGTTTCAAGGTTAAAAGGAACAGGAAGAAATGCAAGCGGATTCAACGAGAAGTAAAAAATCAACTTATCAAACTACATGTGCAAAATTTTGCAATAAATACTTCGTCTTACTCAAATACAAGTGTTCATAAGTAAATTTGGAGAAAAGGCCTAGAGTCGCAGTAGTAGTGACATCTTTCGCACACCTCTCATTTTCCCCCAAATTTGGAATTAGCTGTGTCATATCGTTCAGCACAAGTAGAATTAAGGGGAAAAAGGGACAGGATGATAGATTTACTAGCCATTTCTATTTATGGATGCTCTAATACCAGCGCATACTAGTTCTAAAAACCACTATTCCGTAATCTTCAATACAAGAGGTAAAATGCGGAACAATGTATCGATAAAAGACAAGTTGAAGCAATGAGTTGGAAATCATGTGAAAAACATCGCATTTTCGTAAGCACCACTGGGAGAGTAGTGCACGGTAGACCTGTGGTTAGTAGTCCAATAAATGAATCTTTAGCGATTCTAAATTCACCGCTCATATAGCTGACCTGTTAGTGCATTTTTGGCCTCATGTTCATAATCCTGTTCCTTACGCATCTCCTTGATACCAGCCGAATCAAAGCAAACAAGAATTTTTGTCAATGTTACGAATCAAGCCCTCATTTAGGAGGCATTTGTTCAGTACAAAACATTATAAATAACAAAAGTGCAATATGAATAGGTTCCGATAAAAAGTCAATCCGAATGAAGCAAAAAGTTAAACCGATTACCGTGCGCTCACGGCAGACGCAGCTGAATTTGAGTTATCACAGTGACGGAAAACCAATCTTATGGTTTTTTTTGTAAATCACTTAAAACACTGGAAGAGCTAGAAGCAAAGAATTAGACTTCTAGAGTCTAAAATGAGGTTATTTTATTTAAAAGTTGCACAAATTTACTCAACGTCGATCTTGATTCCTCTTCACCTGCTGAAGGACTCAGACGGGCATATTTAGTCTGACGAAATTGGAGTTAACGCGCTAACACTTTAAAGAATCAGGTAGGCTTTGGAGGATATGCGTCTTTTATGGCCAAATTTGCCGAGAATATTTTGGCAGTAAAGTGAAAAAGTCATCTCCTCAAACACACTTTCTTCCTTTAGCCCAGTATACATCACGTTCAAGTGTAATGAATGCGAAGCAATTTAGCCAATCTAGAGAAGTTTTCAAACTTGTAATTGGACCTATCGCCAATTCTGGGTTCTCGATCGCTTTCTTACAAGCGTCAACTTGATGGATTGGGAAGAAACAGTGCTTGGGCCTGACCCAAAGATTACCACCACCAATGATGCAGGATGCCCGACCTTAAGTATTACAAGAAGCGGAAGCCATCTGCATCTGCACAGATTACACAGGTAAATGTGGAGGCGTTGTAAGCTAACCATAAATAAAGATGCCCAATTGTCTTCGACTGTGCCAACACTGGCTGATGCTAGTCTTGCTGTTTATGACCGCTACTGCCAGCAGCGATTCGCAAGTGGGAGCGCACTTTTGCCCCGACCTCAAAATAACCCCACGGCACAGAATGAGGGTGTTTGAAAATCACTAAAATATCGTCCAAAGTGTGGAAAAATAAAAATTTAAATCAAAAATGAAGCACAGTCGTCAACTAACCAAATTATCGGAATTATCGTTAAATTATTTCACAACAATCTCAGTGCTTTCGACTATCCTTCAAGTCGGTGATTGACAAGACGGAATATGTGGAATTCAAAAACTTTAACGGTTTATTGTGAAATTCATGAATTTGTTTAGAGATGCACTTAATTCCTTTACAGGAGATAGTATGAATTCGTTATGAAGTGCTGTTAATGTTTACTTCTTCAGTTATCCATGATTGGAGAACGGGAAATGAGAATGCTGAACAACGGAAAAGAAAGGGGTGGAATTTTTTATCTAAAATGATTTAAAATACAGATTGCCCATTGTTGTGTTTTAAATCGAGGCCACATACCACGCGCCATGATGGTTCTTGTCTTTTTTCCAAAACATTTATCTTTTGTAAACCCAAAGTGTCTTCAATTGTCTATCTGTGCAAAAGAAGACCCCGCACAACCACTTACTAGGCCTAGCTAGCATTTCCTTCCTCAAGAAAGTTCAATACAGTTCTGCAAAGCCCTAAAATCCAAATGAAACCGGAAGTTAACCGAGTGAAATGTCGCCATATTTGTCCGCACTGCTGAGGAGACACCCAGTGGCCTTACTAACAGCGCTGTCGACGTAGGTGCAGCGGTAGGACATTTGTGGAATTTGCGTTTATCAGGCGGAGGCAAATTGAAATTTTGGAGGCAGCCAAGGTGGTATTGATCGCTGCCACTGCACCAATCACCACGGTAATGATGTTGGAGGGAGAGTGGGTGGGAGGGCGGAGTGATGAAACTTCGTGGGACTGATGCAGTGAAAGCACAATCACTGCACCTACATACACGCACCCACACAAACGAACCCTCACCTGGACGTCCCATAAAGAGGTCAAGTGACGAATGGAGTGGGTACATATGGTACGTTAACCGTTTTCCTTCGCTCCCTCCCCCCACCGTCGCTCATGCCCTGAAGGCAAGCCCTGATACTGCCTCCCTCGTTTATGCCCCATGACAGAGTATAGGGATGCACTGAGGTTTCGCCAAAACACGTCAACAAGTATCCAACGCAATCGGAAGCTAGCACGCGTACGACCACAAGATCTCGTCAAAACACTTAAAAATATCATCTTTAAAAGTGGCCCCACTCATTTATGGCAGCAACAAAATAGCATTTAAAAATACTTTTGCTTAAAATTTTTACAAATTCAGCTGCTTTGAAGAAATAACTGGCGTGTAGCGTTTAGCCTTGTTCAAAGGTAGTTATTTTTTGCAAGTGCACAAAGACTACTTGAAAGCAGCAGAAATTTACACCAAAGTTAATTGCCCTATGAAGTCAGAAGTAGAAGACAAATTCGAGGTAACATTTCCAAACTCAGAACATTTCTAAAGGTTGATTGTTTGCGTATCTCAACTGTGTTGGTTTTGATCGCACATTGTACTATTTTGCAGCCATTCACTTCACTCCACTGTCTTCGCACCGGCCATGCATGGGTGCCTTTAATACCATCGGCTTTATTTTCCTAATTCTCACATCTTATGCGTTGAATCCATTCCTGCCTGCGCTAAGTCTTTAACGCAGGAACAGTTCTGCCTATAGACTAGGTTTTGGGCAAACGTTAGCATAACGAATGATGGAAAGCGGAGGAAAAGTCATGTCACGCGAAAATTCGCATCAAATGGAGAAACACTAATGAGGTTAGGTACGATGCCTGAGTAGCAATAGTGCTTTTCAAGCAAAAGTATGCGAAAATAATAGATGGATATATTTAATCAGAGGAAATCAGCCGCATTTTCACTCCATTCATAAAAACCTAAAACAAATGCAATGAATGAATGTTTTAAGGTTACAGTTGATGCGTTATGCAGACAACTATAGATATCAATGGAAGAGTACCATCGTCTACTTCTAGTATAAAATGAATCGATGGTGGGAATTGTTTTCGTCCCATCCTAAAATCACAAAATGAACGGGTTTCCAACAGCAATACAATCTTATAATAGAAGTAGAGGAAACCGTTACATAGTTTCATAACTTTTCTTATAATCTAAGGAAAATTCCAATCTTCTGTAAAAGAATGTTAGTTTCTGCTACGTGTTTAACGGCACAGGTTCCTCCATTTCTTGCTATTCGGTTGTTTGGCTGATGGCCTAGAGCTAGGTTCGCATCGCCTACGTTGCTAACCTCCTGACCCATTATTACGTTACGCATAAACCTACTTCCAGGCTGGTATGTTTTGCAACGTTCTGAAATGGTACACCTTTTTAGAAGAAGGTTTTAATCTGTTGTGTCCTGACTCCAGTTTCACACGAATTCACTGGAAGTGAAACGTGCAAAATCATATGACACGAACACACCCACGCTCTTTGATAGGCTGCCAGTTGCGCAGTTGGTTTACGTTATGAACTCTGGTGGTGTCGCCATGACTTATTCACGTGAAATCTCGCCCCAGCCTTCACACCTTCTATGAAGTTCACAACCTCCTCTCACTTAAGTGAAAACTTTTCTTTTCACCTTGATGACATGGAAAGACGACTGAAATGACTCCTTCTGGTTTGGGTTGCTCAAAATGAGATTTTTGGACATTGCTGACACATCTACAGTGATAGTGTAGCGCTACCACCTAAAACACATACTTTCTTATTTTTCATTCAATTTCCCCAAAGCATTGAAACAAAGGCAATTGTGTTCAAAACTAAAACGGACGAAGTAGTTGGCAAATGCGTGGATGAATAAATGCACTATTGATACGAGTTAAACAGAATGGCCGGATAGGAGGGACGAAGATTTGAAACGAAACCTGGCGCTGAATTTTTGAGTAAAGACACTAAAGGTCTTTGTTAATCGATCTTGCTTTCAGCTAGCATCATCCATAGACTCGTGGGATCTGATAAATGCGTTAAAGCAGCCAGGTTGATGAAACAATAAGAGAATTAGCAAATAAGTATTAGCTGAGATCAGTGAATGGATTTAGGGTTAAAAAGTGCTAGGCCAGACCGAACTTGGAAACTCATCTACTCACTTTTGTAATATCATTTCTCCCATTCCTTCGCTAGACTTTTTCGATGTTGCTCACTACAATAAATTACAATTAGGTGTCAAACTGGACGAATATTCCACAGATTCTTGTATGAGGTAAAATTGCCCGATTCTTACATGCGCATTCAGTGACCTAATTTTAGTGGTTTCGACCTCTTAAAATTGGCCAAAACGTACCATCACAAAAAACAAATTACTTTAACTCAACAGGAAGTAGGGCAGTAAAGTGGTTTACTGTCAAACAGATCGGAAGATTGATCCCCTGAAAAGAATTCATAAACGCGGTTGCCAACTTTTTTGGGGAGGAGTGTGAAAAGAAGGGTCAGGGATGAACAATAAAAATGAGAATTTGAAAGTAGTCAGTTTGGCTCCCAAAGTGCATGTGATTACGCGTAATTACACGCGATATGATTTTATCCCCGAAACTTTGTGGCAGCGTTTTTGCAATAAAACACACACGTTTGTGCAAAATCGGGTTATTGCGGTTTTTAAATTAGCGCGCACACACACACACATGCAATAAAAAGACTACCTTGCTGAGGCATATTTTAAAGGTAACAGTGAAGCTAAATTAGCGGACCAGTCACCTCTACTCCACTTGCTATCTGTATTCCCAAACTACAGTGACCAATCCGAAGATTTGTTTTATTTTTGGAATTTTAGGAATTGATGGGTCGGTTTGATTTAACCGAGGATGCGATTCCTTTTCCAAGTTATTCCTAATAAATTAGTAGCCTCCACTTAAGAATTCATCCGAATTCAAACCCAAAACTCTGAAAGAAGAGATGCTTACGTCGACTACGCCTTTTTGCATATATAATGAGGCTAGGTTCCTAATAATACCCGAAAATCCGAAAATGAAAACACCACGCGGTTGATGGTAGTCCACAAAGACTTAACATTATACGCATCGTACATTGCGGAAGCATCGCCAAAAGCACTAGGTAAATTTGGCGCCTAGCCCACCGCATAAGGTGGGGGGCTGGTAAATATCTACATAGAAAATAGCGATACGCCCGAAGGAGCGTGTTTGACAGGATATTAAGTCATGAAGGGGGCACGGTATGCTGCTCAGATTTTCTTCCATCTCACGCGAATTCCCAGGGGGCGAAGCTTTTGTCCCTTTTTCAAAAATCCTTGTCCGACGCCTACTTCGCTATTGCAGAGATAAAAAACCTACCATTTTAATATTTTTCTATTTGATGCTATGAAAATCGCATTCAAGAAGAGGAGGGGATCATTTTCTTGTCCATAAAATTCATCTTTAAGCTGGATAATATGAGTACCCCTTGATGCTTAAATTATAACATATGGGATATGATTAATGAATCCAGCCAATTATCGCTTTTATCACAGCATTTAAAGAAATTCGACGTCCGTATTTTTCACCAAAGTCACAATTCAGTATTTCCAGTGACATAAATGGTCAAAGTTCTCAAGCCTAGTCATAAAGAAGGCTCTTTTGCGGACTTTAACTTCCGCTTTCGAAGATGCCGAATTAGCCACATTAAGGCCAATCATCGTGACGCACTTCTTTGTTAATATGAGTGGACTTCAGTGCACACAAACAAAACTATAAATTGGAATGAGAAGTGAGCACAAGGAGGGCTTCTTTGCAATCTAGTTAACTAAAGGAAAAAAGCAAAGATGGGGAGTGTTGGATTAAAACGGTTTGATGATTGAAACGCAAAATATTTGTCATGGATCCAAGATAGGCAAAACATGAGGCTTTATTCGACTTAATTGTTTTTACACGCAGATAGAGTAGAAACGGCCAACAAAATCTTTATTGGAAGCATTAAAAATGGCTGAATATATTTGACCACTTAGGTTACCAACAATTTTTCTGGGAACTAGTACGGGGTCGTCATTTACATGCATTTAACATTCACTATAATGGCATTAAAATACCAAACCATCCAAAAAACTTCAAATCATTGTAATATTGTTCGCTGAAAGAGTGAGGGAGCTTCCAGAGAGTGTGTATTTGAATATGGGTATATGGTGTGGAAAAATTTTCATATTTGGGAGGTTCATCTGACCCGATTAGCATGAGGTCTCCAGATAAGGCCTAACCAATAGTCCTCAAACGTGACAGGCCCCGAATCATCCGATTACTCGGTGATTGCAGGGGTGAGTAACAGCATCTTCCATTTTCGGAGGCAAATACGCTTACGCCAAAAACCACACTGATATGACACAAAGCGGAAAGCAAAATCGTTTAATGAAGTTCCTACCTCCCCTTTCTTTTCATTTCGGGGTAAAAGCTCACTTTGAAAGCACTCATCTCTATGAGATTGAATGATTAATCAGACACTGAGCCAGCTCCCAAATGCGTCTCATTGTCAACTAGTAAATAAATTCAGGTAACTTTCGCTCAACCCTGCTCAAATCCCAAAAGAGGTGTATTCAAATGGAGTGAAATAAGAAAAAATGGGCTATACGAAGAAGCTCATGGGATTGGGCGTGCCTCGCTTCTCTACTTCCTGTTTTAGGAGTGACCAACGAATTCAACGATGGAATTAAATGGTTTGATTTTTTTAACTCTATTAGCAGTCAACAGGTAAATGATGTATAATTGTGGATGGAATAATTTTAACCATCATTTCGTTTATTAACTGCTCATTGTTTAAAACAGTAGTATCGCATCGATGTTGAAGCCTTTTCTTTTGAGGCCTTCTGAGTAATGCAGGTACCATCTTCGTACCGTTTAGCTAGGTATGATCGGGGTTAGAATGGCGCTTCGAAAGGTTTATCCTACGTATTACCTCACTAACGGTTTTAAATTAAAAGAGAGTGTTGTCGAGAATTTTGCGAATTTTGCGAAACGCAAGTATTGTTTGCAGTTTGTTAACTGGAGTAAGAAGATTATTATTTAATTCTGAAGATTTGGGAGATTAATCAAATACGTATTTCCTATTAAGCAGTCCCTCTGACACATGACACAAAACGACATACAAGTTACGTTTAGTATCGAAAACACCAACCACCACGTCTAAAAACAAAACACAATTGTTAAGGTGATGGCAGAAATATGAAACAATTAAAACTAAATAGAATGGAACTTGTGCAAAGAGGACGGAAAGAGGGGCTGGGTCTGCAGCTACTAGGTGCAACAAGCAGGCAAGCATAAACACGGGTACCCTTATGACCTAGCTGTGAGGGTGAGTAAAGTTGGGGGTGATCACGCCACATGTGTGCTAATAAACACAACGCACCAACACAAATACACAGCAAAAGTAATGAAAGTGGGCTGACACCGCTCTCGTAGTAGCAGTCGGTCCCTCTTCAGCTTACCAGCGAAAGTTGTGAGTACCTATTTTCTTAAAATAGAGATCTAAAATTTAACCTCATGTCAGGTCCGCCAAAGCAAACAACACAAGTAAAGGTTACCGATTTTCTTCATTAATTTGCGGATATCCTACAGTTGGTGCTTCAATCAGCCGTTTAATGTATTACATTTCGATGATTTCTGGATTCCAAAAAGGTATACCACATATTAAGCATCTTTTAACCATTCAATGGAGGATTTCTAGCATATTAAAGCTATTTTAGAACATCCGCCGAGCTTGGTAAAATCCAACCTACGATTTCTGAGGTTGGTAAACGTGCCATTGAGTACTTATCTACTGACCAATAATGAATTTCTCAGTCAGGAAGCTTTTCAATCTATCACTAAAGTTTAATCTTTTTGCAATGCAAACATCCAACTGCCCACTTTAGGGTGTCAAACAGGAGTGCCGATTTTTAAGATGATAAATACTTCATCAAAACAGCTAGGCGCGATCCTGTGACCTCAAACTTGTAACACCTTTTATGAGGGAAAATAGTTTTAGAAGAATAATATTGATCAAATTGAATGAAATTCAATGTTTTACTCGAGGTCCAGGCTAAAATTTTCAAGTTATTTTGCATGAGCCCACCTTTGTGCTGTGAATGTTTCGTCATGCGGAAATTCCTCAAAAATGCATCATTGGAATGCGGCGAGACTGGTCATACAAGACTCCTCTTCAAACACCGACACAAACTACACTAAGCATTTGCAGCTGCTTGTCTGTGTTTTAAAAACAATGGAAAAATTTACACGTTAGCTAAAACAGATAAATCTGTATGGGTAAATCCCGCCCTGAAACTGGTATGAAATTATTACTCTGACCTTATGTTGTTAATGCATGTATTCTAATTACCAAAGCTTGCAAAAAAAACTGGCAGTGCGTGAACAAAGACTTAATTTCAAGAAATAAGGTTGAAGAAAAGCTGTCGGCGATGCAAAATGAAAGATTTGTTCTGTTGCTTCTTCTACTCTTACTATTGCAACTTTTTCGATAAAAGCTCCGCCAATGCGACGGAGAGAGTCTTTGTGATTTGCCTGGCGGGTGAGGTAGGTGAATGACACTTTTTATTCAGGCGACTGCTGTGGAAAGGTAAAAAGCGCTAGTCGCCTGGCCTCTATCCCACTGACTCATGTGCTGATGAGCCGTTAAGGTCATCTGGGCAAGTGTTATGAAGAAGAGTGTCTAAAACTTGAATTGTGATCCTAACGGATATTCCATTTTGTGGTGTTGAGTTCAATAAAACTGGAACGGTAAGAATATAAACACTGTGAAATAGAGTGATTAGAGGTATTTATATCTCCTTCATTTGATGATGGCGTGTCAAACAAGCTAGATATTACCAGCTCGTCAGTAATTGCTAATACAAACAAGAACATTAGTAGTCTCTATAATGCCTCACAATGAAATGAGATTTCTGAATGCAGTTAGTAAAAGGTAACCGCAATGACTGAGATAATTATCAGTGATAAAGGGAAAAATGCTCCAATTCCACTTGATAGAAAGAAAAGGTAGTGAAATAGGTATTTGGGAAGAAAAGTAGAACAAGACCCAAGTCTACAGCCTTCTAACGTGAAAAAGAGTTAAAAATACATATACGACATCATGAAAACCAAAAGCAAAAGACTAATTGTAGCGATTTTGATTCCAGATTAAATCTAAAATTAGTACGGAGTAGTAACCGAAACTATGAGTCTGATTATTCAAAAATCAAGAGTAATTATGTACACATTTTTTTGGGTTTTGACATCAAAAGCCCTCGAAAATAAAATCAAAGACTTCGAAAACTGTACTGCTGGACTGAAACAACTGAAATTATGCGGATGATATACGAGAAGAGGCCATTACGCATCACATGCCCAAAACCGCATCCAGTAGAACTGCTAAAGTCGCTCAAAAGTAAAATGAGATGATTTGGTTGCAGGAACAAAGGCATCTAAAACCCATCATATGGAGCCATCTCTCAAATAATTCTTATTTTTCCGATAACCATCTCTACCGATGAAAGGCTCAGCTTCACATTACTCCCTAATTGGCATATTCGCGTCAAATGTATCCCATGCTCATGCGGTGGAAGGAAAAATGAGGGCGAAACAGACTCGAAGACAGAGGAGACAATCGTGTGAACATGATTTCTTCATTTGGAAAGCTATGCTTTTCCACATCTTTTGGTCCGATGCCCGCATTACAAGGACAGTTAATGCCTCCCAAAGAGGCACACAAGTACAACACAGTTAACTTTACTCCGTTATCTCACACCTCCTGTTCCTCAGATAGGTTCGGTTTCTTCTTGATCACCATATTTGGAGATCCAATTGCCACAAGACTGCCTCGCTTAAGGTGTCTCAAGGAATTACAAGCAGAAGCGATCAATCTTTGCCCCTTCAGGCATTCTCTCTCATTCTCTGACAAATACTTTTTATCTCTGCAGATATGTATCGCTCTCTTCGAATATCAATTTCTCTGATCCCATTGCTACAGCAGCATAAACAAAGGAAACACCCTGGAAATCGATTTCGTCCGCATTTGAATAAACACTTCGCTCTTTCAAACCTGATTCCTACCAAACTTCACCATTCCACCCAGAGAGAATATATCCCACATCCACGACTGCCTACATGAAGATCGGCCAGCTCGGTAGCCCGCTTCTCCACGAGTTGGGCACGCTCCTGCGACAGGACCTCCAGCCGAGCCACCTCGGCATCGCGCTCCACCAATCGCGCTCGCAGTTCCTCTATTTCAGCTTCCGCAGTCGCCTTGTCGTGGCTGCATTCACCGCCTCGGTGGGCACATACTCCCGTCGCAATTAACGCCTCCTTGTCTACTCGCTCCCTGGTCAGCTCAGCTTCGAGGTCAAAGGGCTTTTTACCGGATCCGCATTTCAGCTCCTGCAGCTAGAGAAAAGAGAATTTAAAGATGTAGAATGGCTAATTAGGGACCTGCTTGGGAAGAGAACTTTAATGGATTACTCCCTGAGGGAGAACAAATCATGTGACTGGAGTAGGCCAAACACCATTTTTGTTGCTATATCCTGTTGGAAGGCAGCGCAAAGCAAAGGGTTGAATATCTGATAAACTGTCGCTTCTGAAAAGACGAAGGCAGCTGAAAATGGAAGCAATAGATCGGTAATTTATTGGAGAGAGACCTGTATAACTGGAGAATCTAATTCCAAACAGAAAATCCGAATTGATGAAAGCAGAGTTAACTCATGTGAAATTAATGGCGATTTCGACTTTTCATAATGCCGGTGAGCATTTTTTAGGAAAGCATTAGTCGCATAATTAATATATCTCCGTAAAAATATAAGCTGTTTTTAGTCCACATGAAATATCTTAAAATAACATAGGAACATTAAATTTTTAAGCTACTCGTAAAAACTTATCTGGATGGGAAGGACAAAGTTCACTGGCTACAAGCCATGCGAGAGGAATCCACAAAGCCAGAAAATATATTTCGTGGTATGGATATCAATAAATGGAGACAAGTGCTTTTCAATAGATATCAATTTCGGTGACACATATCATTTTAAAGTTTGATGAGGTGAACTGCTGGGTAACTGATAAAGATAGTAATTGATAAGTGGTAAGATGGTTTTTTGATATCACTCAGGGGGGATGATTAAATACGAAGAGTGTTTTAACTTTAACTGTTGTTATATGAGGCTAACAATTAGTAAATGAAGTTAAATTGTTTTTGCCAAGCAGAAAAGAAGCGGATTTTCCGAATGATTAGCGAAGGCACAACTGCATGGGGTTTCTTATAACGGTGGTATCGGTATCAGACTCATATGGCCAGGATAAAAAACGCTCGAGACAAAAACGGACTAAGGTAGATATTAGATGAGAGTAAAAATAACAGCTATTTGAAAAAAGAGGAAGGGGTTAAATAATTAGCAAACAGATCACAGTGCTGTTTGTTGCCTCAGCAGTGGTGCCTACGCTGACTACAAATGCGACATGTTGCGCTATCTATGCTCCTACACCTCGAATTCTTCTGTGCCATTTGAACAGTTATGCATAACCTCATGAATGTCATAACGTCCTCTTGGTTAGCGAAGGGGTTATAGTGCATTATTGGTACGTACAGCAATAATTCATGACCTATTCAAGCCTGGAATACGTTTAAAGCCTAAGTTCTTTGTGATTTGTGAGAGGAAGATAAGCGTATCTTTCTACCTCAATCAACTCATCATCTTAACTGACTAGGAAATTGGGAGAAGAATACAACAAGTATTACAAAACGAGTACCTTTTTACTTAGCTTAGACTTGCGGTTGAAGTAAATTTCGGAAACAAACTTTTATTGCGTCATGACAGACTGCACATAAGAAATGATCAAAAGCCTAAGTATATTGCTAAGAAAGTTGCGACTATGCATGTACCCACAGGTTGGACAGGAAATTGGAAGAACAGTGTTTTATGAGTGAATCTGAGATTAACTTATACGTTAGAGGCAAAAAACCAAGACCTGATTTGTTTGGAAGTGTTTGAGAAATGGAAAAGGCTAATGGAATAATCTAAATTCTACCACAAGTTAATGGTTTTTTCCTCGCACTGATATTATAGCTGATGATTTACTCGTCGATTGTATCAAAACTCAGACATTTTGGCTTTTTTATTTTGTATGGTGCCTACCGATTTGCTAGAAATGGTGAGCCTAATTGATGTATGCTTTTAAATCCTAGCGTTGATTGAAGGACAGAAAAATTGCTCTACGATGATTAACGGTAAGGGAGAAACTCAGGTTCGAAATGTAAAAAGCACTGTGGGACAAGTAATCAAGAAGCAATGAAAAAAAGATGCTTTACTTGCATATAATGCCCCTTATTCTTCCAAAGAATTATTTTCATCGCATCTTTTATGCCACACAATTTAAGATTAGTGCTATTGGCGATGATGTATTACCAGTAACCAGTCAAGAGGTTGATGATAACGCCTTACTAAAATTTATTTGAATCTGAGTTAAGCCACTTTGGGGTGGACAAAGCATGGACGCACTAACAATCGTTATACCACTCATTTTCAAATACGAAATCTAGATGAAATATAATCCAATCACCTTTGGGATCGAATTAAGAGGCTGTAAAGTTACTTAGCTGAACCGCACAATTCACAATTCCCCTGGATTTTAAAAATGGAAGATATTTTCTTAAGGCAAAGCTTAATGAAGTTGGCTTACAACGTAGGTGCGCATTTCACATGACATTACCTTTTTTCTTTGCTTAAGGAAATTAGCAAACAAAACCGAGGACATTATTCTTCTCCTGGCAGCCGGTAGTGCACGAATTTACGCTCAGCGTGCCGCTTAGTATCACCGTTATTGTCACTTGTTGGTTGCCTGTCAAGCAGCACAAAAGCAACTTCCATTTGACCCCTTCAACTAACAATCATAGTACATCAAGCGTGAAGTTTCCACTCTCCGAAAGTACTAAGGCAAAGAGCAGATGGTGGCACAACATCTAATTTGGTCTCATTGTCACCCTGAATGCTGCTTGCGAATAATTCGTCACGTCATGCAATCACTGCAGCAGCACGTACAGCTGCAAGTACAGGTAGTGTAGGATTGATAAGCATGATATGAGGTGGTGACGATTCAAGTAGCAATAGTCTTTCCGGAAAGCGATCTTAAAACTAATTTCCGGGTTAAAACAAAGGTGCCAAAAGATTAACTAGAAACATTTGTAATGGTATTTAGCACAACCTAAAATTCGAGTCTATTGGCGACATAATCGAAAAGGTTTTTCATCTTAGTAATGTTTGGCAAACCAGAATTTCACCTCGTAAATTAAATGAGCAAACCACAGAAGAGGGATTGTCTTTGGGCTTAGCGTTTTGTGTTCTCACGATATGAAAGCGAACCAACATTGTGAAGTCATCCACTTTGGTGATGGATCACCTGGAGGCCCGAAACCAACCATCGGAAAAGTGCTAGTGGTTTTCTGATTGACGCTACTGTACAGTCACAATTTTATGGGAACGATGACAAAATTGTGATGCAGGGAATACATCCCTAGAATTATGATGAGAGGACACTTGTGCGATAACAGGTTGCTCGCAAAAAGCACTCATAGTAGTAAACCTAATAGCTGCTCCTTTTTTTGAGGATTACAGGGTCTTTTACAACTTAATTGCCTCCCACGCAGTTTTTGGTCTAACTAGTCGACAGAAGACAGTAAAACAAGACAGCAAAATGTTTAATTCGTGGTAGTACAGCTGTTTCGCTAGTAAAGTACGCCTAAATTTACGCCATAAACTAGCTTCTCCACCCACCTCGCATTCACGATTCTTAATCTGCGTCTCTAGCTCCCTGATTCGATCACAGAAGGCTCCCTTTTGCTGATCTAAACACTGCTCCACCTGACGCAGCGTGGCGAGTGCAGTTTCGCGCTCCTTCGCGACACTGTGTAGCTTTTCGCGGGCCTCCGCGAGCTCCTCCTGAAGACGACCCATGTCTCGGTTCCAGCTTTCCACATTGCTGGTGCGCTCTCGCAGAGACCTCCACAGGGCATTCCGATCAGCCGTCAGGTTGTCGATTTGGACCTTGTCAGCTTTCAGCTGAAACGAACAAATAAGGATTCACCCAGCTCATAGGAGCCTACTGAACCCTTTAACTACATGAAGGTGTATTACCCTATCGTTAAATAATAGTTTAGGTCGGATCTGTTCGTCTGGACTTATTGGACCCCTGAACTAGTTTTCAGCATTTTAAATAATATACAATACGTGTTCACAAAAAGGTGCGATTACTTTGGTATAGTAACTTAGTCATCACTTCCGCTTCCTCCTAAAGCACACCGGTCAAGCTAACGCAGGGCTCTTTGACTAGTGACGTTCGCTTTTGTTGTTTATACTAATTCAGATGAAATTGTTTACGCAAAAGGACGTCTCCCTCTCCAATTCATATCAGTAATTGGAAAACGCAATCTCGGAGGCACGTATATTGTTTACAGGAGACTGAGTGGTCGAAAACAATCAGATTTCTATTGTTTTCAATGTTTTCAGTTTTAAGTGAAGTCATTTGAAAAGCTCAATTCATATGCAGCGTGCTCCTTTCTGGTTACAAATTATCCAATGCCCACTAAATGTACATTTTTGCCGTGACTAGAATAATCGCACTTTTTTGAAATTCCCTTTGCCTCATTTATCCCCCATGTTTTGGGCGATTCGCTCGAGATAAGAGTTTTCCCTTTTTATTCATTTCACCACGTGCACAACAAATCCTTTTCATCATGATTGATGCTTGACACTGCTCTGCCCTACTGATCGGTCAATGGTTCGATCAGCTTGCCAACGCTCGAATCCTGTCCCGCTAGTATATCAGAGTTACATCTCATTATTACAGCTTTCTAAGGTTTTTTATGCGAATTAATCCCTCGTAAGTTTGGTACTTTACCTTCATATTTGCATTTCATTGGTCCTGAGGAGGTCTAAGGGCTATCTTAATTCCACTTCATCTTCAACTTTATCAGCAATTTAAGTCATTCTTCATCCTGGGTCCTCTAATTTTCAATTATGGACCTCTGGATTCATGGTAATAGACTGAATATCTACCCAACTCTATGTAAGCAAATTACGACTTTGATAAAAATGGTACCCCTATGATATTGTTGTTTTCAAATGATGATGGATAGTCTTCAAATGCTGGTATGACAGAATCATGCATACCACGCCTCAACGCATGGAGCAAGTGTAAACTTGAGAAGAGCTACCTTTTTTCTGCAGTGAAATGCGGAGTTTATTTTTAGAAATATTGTTTTATGCCAAGCAGAAGGAGTTGATCTTTACATACACAATGTTGGAAGGAGAATGGCCTGTGGTGAAGAAATACAAGGGATAGATGAGGCTAGTAAGAATGCCTTTGCGAAAGTTGTTTGGAAAGTAACCTTTGTAAGCTCTGCCCATTAAATACCAAGTATCATCTACGGCCTCCGTTAGCCTTTGTGGCTCCGTGGCTTTAGTTCCCTTTATGGTTCAGACCTGTGAGTCTGATGTAGGGTTATGAAAATCGGAATTTTTCAAACAAAGTTGCACTGATCCAAAAAATTGTGTTAGCATGATCAGTTAACCTCTGTCAGGTAAAGCATATTTGCATAAAAATCATTTCCGATGACATCAACGAACAAACAGGAAATAAATTTTCTGCAGCATTAGTAATTTGGCCTTTACTTGCTTACCAAATTGATTTTAATTTAGTCATAGATATAGCTTATGCCTTTTTTTGTCATTTCCCCCAAAATTACACCTGAGAACTGATTAATGTGTCAGGGTCAAGTAAGGGAATCGAAATAATTCATCAAAATCAGCGATAATGGTTCAGACATTAGACGTTTGATGAGTAATGGCGCTGCGTCTGTAGGAATCGCCATGCAGGGGCATTATTCCTTCAAAGAGCTAATATAAATCAAGGCTGCAATAGTGACTCATACGGGGATTTAAATTAACTAGCACGTAAGTTAATCAAAGTAAAACTACCCAAGCAACAATTTTGTCAAAATGTGGGGCCACACCACTCCCACTTAGGGACAATGAATGGAACAAAGCAGAGGCAATGTGGTCTGAAAATAGCACCCAAATACTAGTTTTAAGGAGCAGAAAGTGAGTAGGAAATTACCTCATGAGCGAGTTTCTCGTTGGCTGTTTTTTGAATGGCCATTTCGTACTTCATCACCTTCTCCTCATGACGCACACTGCTAACAAGATGGTCTAAGAGGGTCTCGATTCCATCCAAAAATCTCTCCCACTCTTTCTCCATTGACTGCTGTTCCGAGAGTTGAAGAAGCAGCGTATCCCGTTCTTGACAGAGTGTCTTTATAAAGGGCAAGGAAAAAATCGGAAAATTACTGCAATATCGACAGTTTAGTCTTGACTGTATAGCAAAATAATAACATAAGCAGAGGGCCTGAATACATCTGTCGGCAACATAGTCTGGTTGGATCAAATTAACTTCGTAAAGCCATGACTGCATGCATGATTTTCTTATCAGTAACACTTCTGCTATCTGCCTCGGAGCAAAAAAAACCACCATATATTAATTTTATTTGTATTCTAATATGGCGACAGCTAAAACGCGTAATTAATCTCAAAGCAAAATAATCTACTTTTACTTGGTGCAACCGGTTATCGTATACTCCGGTAAAGAAAAGGTGTCGTACATCTGTGATGCCAGACGCACAAGTGACCCCCGTTTGGGCTCGATAACCTACACCAATGCCCTTGCCCACTACTTGTTGATCTTTTGACCCGACTTATTTAAATTACCACTGAATTAGGTTTTTTTTCAGTCGCAGAAGAAATATTTGGTACACAGAGATGTAAAGGTCGCCGTTTTATTGCAATGGGAGAATTATGTTTTCTGAGTAATTAGGAAAGAGGCCTTCAACCAAGCATTGTGAGTCCAATGGCTTCATTTCAGACATGCGCAAAACTGCATTAATGGGGAACCAGAGGAAAAAGAACTGCGAAAAATGCCTTAGATCATAAAGTTAGGTCTCGAAATAGGCATTGCAGTTGTTTTGTTCTTTGCATTCCATTGAGCGGATTTGCTGAGATAATTTAACCACTTTTCAACATCACGTAACTTAGATCTACTGGGTCGGATAATTTTGCTCCTTTGTCTTGTTTTCACCCATTGAACTGCTATTCAAGAGGGTTATACTTATAATCCTTGCCTTTTTGGCACCTCAATTTTTTAAACAAATTACCCCTAAAGGATTTCATCTGTGTAGACCCACATTTACTACTAAGCAGATGGCTGAAGTAGTGCAATGCAGATGCACATAAATTGTTGATAAAACCTAGAAATGTAGTTTCAGGCTTTACAATTCAACAACCTTAGGCCATTTTTAAAAAAATGACCAAATAATTGTTGCTCAAACCAGCTTTACTCCAACTTAGTAAAGATGGCGGGAGACAGTATAATTTAGTCAGACAAGTTTGACGATGCGGCAACTAAAATGAATCCGAATAAAGCCTTTCTAGGCAATTACTGAGAGAAGATTTGTTGTGGGGTTATGTTAGCTGCGTTGTTCTCCAACAAATCCGAGAGGGTTAATTTGATTGGTTGCTAGTGGAAAGTGGTGAATCGTGACCAGTCTATCTGCCCTTCGCCCTATTGTTAAGCCTCAAGTAAGGACATGTGCTTGAAATATGAATCACCACTCAATTACTTCGTGGTGGTGCGCGGGCATGCAGTGGCACGATGGCAGCTGCGGTTATGCAAGCAGCCCACAGCGATCATTCCCCGTTCTTTCACTTTTATGCAATGCGGAAAAGTGCCACACGCACACACACTCCGTTTCTAATGCCAGTCATAAATACAAATCACAATCACGACCTCAGCAAATTCTGTGCCCATGGGAAGCCAATCCAGTTTAGCCTAACCCAGCCCAACCCCGAGGACTTTTGATAAGACGGTGCGTAATTCAACTGAAAGTTATTTTCGTGTGTGTTGTGTGGCCACGAACGGCGGCCTATTTGATCTCCAATGGCCTGGAATGCAGTGAAACGAGCTGGTAATCAGGTCGAAGGGACGTCTCCTTATCATTGGTGGAATTTCCCACAGTTTTAAAAATTGCGTCGGTTCCGATGCTGCAGTTACTCTACGACAGAAAAGGAGTCGATTCAGCGTACTCAATAGCTTGGATCGGATATCGAAATTAGATGCCTTAAAAGGGTAATGAATGTGGGAAATTCCACACAATGGTTCTACTAATAATTTATAAAAATACTTTTAAATATGTATTTTAAGTATCCAAAGCATAATTGGGAAAACTAGCCACGTCTTCGATGATTCATTACATTCGGTAGAATAGTAGTCAATAAATAAAAAATTCAGGAAATTGAGTTGAAAAATGTGGGTGGATTAGCGATGCACTTCAGTCTGGGAGTTAGTCACATCTGAATGAATGGATCAAACAACTCCTTTGTTTTTGGACCCTTGCGTCCGACTTCACAATGTTAATTTAGTAGCTTGTCAAAACCTAAACTCAGTAAAGTAACTATTGAAAATGGCAGGAGATAAGGAAGGAGCGAAAAAATACGCCTGCATTTTTAAATGCCCGGGTTCTGTTACAACATGTGAAAAAGCCTCGATCAGAAGCCTCTCGCAGAAATGCAAACTAAGGACCATTAAGAAAAGCAGTGCATTTTCTTCCACAAAAGATGTTAACTTCTGCACTTCTTCAGTGCTAAATCGATGCTTGGGAACGGTGCTGCCTTTTGCAACATAGATATCAGGTCGTGACGCAATTGTTTTCCATTGTGAGGACCTTTTCAGTCTCACACGATTTGCCTTCCATTACGGTGGCACGAAGCTCCGCACATGGTAATTATCCTGCTGATCTGCCAGCCCTCCCGTAGACCGACATTAAAGCTACTTTCGTGTATGCACGTGTTACAACATCATTAGGAGTAACTAAGGTCATTTCAGGATAATATTATGATTAAGAAAAGTAAAAACTACACCGACAAAAATCCCATCCACATCAAGCAGGGATTCCTACCTCTTTGTTGTTCCAGTTGCTAACAGAAATTTAGCATACATGGAACATATTCATTACAATCTATTCCTCCATTAATGAAGTAATTCCCTTTCCATAATGATATTACTTCTGCAAGTAGTTAGCTAGCACAAATTGAATGCAAGGAAGGTGTTCTTAATCTAACAAACAGGTCAAAATGTTTTTCATCGATTATGTTCCAGTATCAGAAGGTTTAGCATTTCCGCTAATTTTAAGAGGGTAAGATTAATAATGCCTGTTTTTTTATTTCCACCGAGAGAGGGTGAATATAAGACCACCGCAGTGCATATAATCGCGCTCTCACAGGCTAGCTTAGTGCAGCTGCACCGCTGACCTGTTGTGACAGCACGATGATTAGCACAACCACCTGATCTACACAATCTGGCGCGATTTTTGTGCTAAACCTTGACACGTAACCACCGCTCTGCTTTGTCTTGCTACGAGTAGCCGTCCAGGGACAACTGCTCTTGGGTTGATGCACTGACGAAAGCTGTGGTGGGAATTTCAGCATTGGTGAATATAGAAATATGCACATTGACTACATGCAGGATCTTTTAAGATAGGTTACAGAGACTTTGCATCTTTCAGCTGTTCATGATCAGAGTAAATAAATCATTCGATCCATAGTGTGCCATGAGTTCAGTACTAGTCAATGACGCGCTGGCAAGCTATGACAATTACGACCGCTGCCGGATAATGACCGCCTCTCAAGGGAACAAATGCGGGTACACACTTTTTGACATTGGAAAGAGAAGGAATCAATAAGTTGCACTTGTATCAAGTCCAGCGTGATCTTATACTCAAACATGTGCCAATATAATTAAAGCACAGGTCACATACCAGTTTATGGCCTCAAGCCAAAGCGTTATAACACCCAACTGATTCCACAAGGAGGGGGGAAGTTTGGTCTGCGTTTTCTCGAGGCCAAACCGCTGGACATTACAAGCAGCCCAGGAATCTATCCGAGAACATCCTAACTAACGTTAAATCTCGTTTGTGAGGCACATAAGTTCAGTTTTTGGCACTTAACAAAGTAAAATGTCTTCTAGCAGATTTTTAGCTTGACGTTCGGAGAGAGAGTAGATTATTGGAGTTTCGCACAGTCAGAAATAATTTCTTACCACTCGTAGCCGCTTAGTGGGTGTCCAAATCCCTAATTCGCCTTAATGCGAGTTAAAATTCAAATAAAATAGGAGGGTTTGCTTTGGTAGGCTAATTTATGTTTTTCTCTGGTTCAAAAGGCTTTTTCCCTATCCTCAAAACCGAGAAATGTGTTCTCACATAAGGTAGAGATCATTGCCCTTCTCTCACCTTCTTTGTCAGCAGACACGTTTGACCTCTTTTTAGTGATAAGACACTATGTGGAGCGATTAAACAATGACTAAGCTAACGTCTCAGATACTTTTTCATTCATTTGAATGGAAATTTACTGAACTGGTGATGATAGTACCTGTTACCAATCATTCTCAGTCCAAAAGTACCGTTTGAATTACTGAGCAATTTCAAAACACTTTACCCAAATTTTAGGCGTTTTAGACGTTGAGAAAGTACTTTTTAGTCCTTCCGATTAACAACAGTAGAATCGAAAATTTCCACAATTTTCTGTTCGAAAGTGATAAAAGAGTTAGTTGGCTATGCGCTGGTGGCACTTTACCATGGAATCTTGTGGGAATCCGAGTGACTATAGAAGGGAATATTGCTTGTTTTGATTAGCACTTGACTCTGTG